TTATGGGAATCTCTGCTGCTGAGCTGATCTTCATGCAGGCACCAGGGAGGGGAAGCCAATCTCTTCCGGGTGAGAAGCTGAAACAGCTAATTGTGCCTGGTGGAGGAAGAGGGCTCGCACACCTGCTCCCCTGGGGAGAGGCCCAGCAGGGAATCCGCTGAGCAGGAGCACAACTGGCTGCATCTCTCCTGCCTGTGGCTTCTCTTCCTGGAGCCAAGGGGTGTCCCTCCTTCCTTCCCTGCATCTGGACCAGCAAGTTCAGACCTGGCAAGTTGGCTGATGTACCTTCCCCTGCCTCTCCAGCCAGGTGAGGCCTGTGCGGCAGGGCAAGCACAGTCTGCACAGACGCACTACGTACGGCGTCTTGTAACATCTGCTGTTGATACAGTCAGAGGCTGAACCGAGCAATTACAAGCATCCGTGCTCCTTTGTTAGAGTCAGTCTGATTGGCTCCGTGGCCTTGTCACTCAGGCAGAGCCAGCTGCTGCCTGTCCTGCCTCAAATTATTTCTTCTCTGTTAACTGATCACCCTGTGATGTGGTTGTGCAACTTTGTGCTGTGAAAACTCTGAGGCCTCTGGGTCTGTGGCCAGCAGGGACCATTGCGATCATGTATCTCACCCCCTGTATAGCACAGGCCAGAGAACTTCCCCAAAATAATTCCTTTTAGTATATCTTCTAGGAGAACTTCCGATCTTGATTTAGAAATTGTCTGTGATGGAGACTCCACCACAACCCTTGGTAAATTGGCCAATGGTTTAAGACTTTCACTGTTAAAAATTTACACCTTATTTCCAGTCTGGATTTGTCTAGCTTCAATTTCCAGCCATTGGATCGTGTTCGACCTCTCTCTGCTAGCTAGAAGGACCCATTATTAAATATTTATTCCCCATGTAGGTACTTACAGACTGTAATGAAGTCACCGCTTAACCTTCTCTTTCAGCTAATTAGATTGAGCTCTTTGAGTCTGACTATAAGGCAGGTTTTCTACGCCTTTAAATCATTCTCGTGGCTCTTCTCTGAACCCTCTCCAAAGGATCAACACCCTTCTTGAACTGTGGGCACCAGAACTGGACACACTATTCCAGCAGTGGTCACACCAGTGCCAAATAGAGAAGTAAAATAACCTCTCTACTCCTACTCAAGATGGCCCTGTTTCTGCATCCCAGTGGAGTCACTCTGGATTGACACTGCTGTAAATGGGTTTGGGCCTGACACCCCCACTCGTGTGTGTGTGTGTGTATGGGGGGGATTGATCCATTGAGGATCATCTCCATCCAGAGGAGTGGGGTGGGTGATCTGGCCCTCAGTGGAAACTTCAGGATCTGGCCCTATAACGTTGGCCCTAGCCAGTGTTTACTCTGCTGTGCGAGCCAGCAGTAACCCGTTTCATCAGCAATAAGTGAGGCAGAGGTGTAGAAAAGATCTTTCCTAAGTATGCCAAGTGGCCAGCGGTACGTGCAGCAAACCTAGAGTTTGCCAGTGAGCCGTCTGGACTTGGCTGTTGGCTTGCATGTGAACTGAACCGAAGCCTTGTTTGGGGGAAAGCCCAGGGCGAGAGTAGCCGCTCCTCATCTTTGCTGGATGTGCCAGTATCCCCAGAGCTTCCAGGAGTGACCTGGGGTCCTTCGGGCATGGCGGTGTGGTGGGAGTTGTGTTGCACCTGGGGCTGGTTTGTCTGAGCTAGGAGTCAGCTGCATTTTCAATGTGTGCAGAGGGTGACTGTGTGCTCTCGGCGGCGTCTAACGCCGGGTGGCCTTTCCGTAAAGGGAAAACCACGCGAGCAGGAAAGTAAAATCTCCACGAGCGTGCGAGTCCCCTGTGGAGCAGGCCGCTGAGCTGTGGGTATGTCTTCCCAGCCCGCGGCAGCGAGCCTCCCAGCCCGGGTCGCCAGCCTCGGCTCGCGTGAACGCTGAAAATACCTGGCGCTTTGAAGTTGCAGCTCGGGCCCCGAAGCGGGCTGGCCCCCGAGCCTAAATCCTGCCATGAGCGCTCGTCTGCACGGCTGTTTCAGAGCATCGCGAGAGCCGAGGCTGTCGACCCGGGCTGGGAGGCGGGTTGTGCAGACGTACCCGCCGAGAGCAGAACTGCTGCTGAAGTTGGCAGAATTCTGGGGCGCTTTAAAGGGACAGGAGAGAGAAAGCGAAGGCCTCACGGTCGCAGCGATGCCATGTGGACGTCACGAGATAGTGGTGCCTTTATCCGGGAGGGTAAGTTTTGACAGGGGGGACCACAGATAGGGAGGGAAGGAAGCTGGGTGCCAGCCAGGCAGTCTGCCTTAGTCTCCCTCACAGAAGTCCGAGACGGACAGGACCCATTTGCCTATCCCGTCTGTAGCCAGCACATGAGCATTTTGTACAGGGCTTGTTGTCCCGCCCAGCAGCTGGGGCTTCCATCATTGTCTTGGGGGGAAAAAGGATTCCTTGTCAGGAAGTCGGTCTGATGATCAGCCTAAAATCTTCTCTGCCTTCATGTCATTACTGCCAGTTCTGCTGCTGGTTCTGCCCCAAACGATCCCTCTCTCTCCTTGATGTTCACGCCCTTCAAATATTTGTAGACTGTTATCATGCCTGCCCTTGGCTGACACCCAGCCAAGCTACACTTAACTCTTTCCCTCCCGGGGATCAATCTCTCTGATCAGTCCTGTTGCGCTGCTTTGGACCCTCTCCGGTTTGTCAATATCTGGTTGGTAGCCAGGGGCCCAGGGCCAAATGCAGGAGGCCAGGGGGTGGTCGCACCTGCACCATACAGGGAGGGACTGTCACGTCTCTTTCCTGTGATCAGTGGCGGATTAGCTATGGGGCCCGTGTCCTGGGGCCCCCAGGCAGGTGAGATGAAAGCCCCATGCCCTGATCCCACTCCCTGGCAGAGGACGCCTCCAGTGCCCCCCGACTTTCTCTCTGGCAAGCCCTAGGGAAGCACCGGGGAAGCCCCAGCACCCAGACCCCTGCTGCGGTCCCAGGACTGGAGAAGCTGTCGCTACCTGCCATGGCCCTGGGGCTGAGGGAGCTCTCGCTCCCCACTGTGACCTGGGGCCGTGGCTCAGGGACAGAGCTTCTCCAGTCTTAAGGCTGCATTGGGGGCAGAAAGTAGCAAATGGGTTGTTGGGCCATGGAGGGGGAGGGGGGGGCGGAATGGGGGGGACCCTGGGTGGAACAGGGGCGAGGTCCTGGGGAAGGAGCAGAAAGGGGTGGGGCCATGGGCAGAGCTGCAGGCAGAGGTGGCAGAACCTCTGGTGGAAGGGGTGGGGTGGGGTGGGGCCCCCACTTGCTCTGGCCCAGGGCCCCAGGACACCTTCATCTGCCTCTGTCTGTGATGGCTCCGACTGGCAGGAGTTGGGTGTGATCTGTCCCTGAAGGTTTCTGCCAACATGCAATAACAGAATTGTTCCTGGGTAGATTGCAGTGCCCCCTCCGCAGACTGGTAGAGGGAGGCACCCAGGGCTCTGGGTGTAATTCCCTGAGGAGGGGAATGAGCTGATGACTAGCTGAACCAATCCCCTAGGTCCCAGTGCTCCTCTAACTGGCAGATTCTCCTTTAGTTCCAGGCAGTTGTCCTCGCTCATTACTGCAGAGTCCAGAAGGGCCCCATGGAGCAGGATAGGAGCACAGGAGAGTCCTGTGTCTCCAATGTTTAATTTCCTCTTTGTTGTTCAGACAGCAGAAGTGAGCTGGACATGTGTGGTTTTTTGGGGGTGGGCATGAACGCCACTGCCCCTTCCTGACTGTTACAACGTCCGGTTGTCTCAAATCTCTGTCACTGCTCTCTAGCGCCTGTGAGCTGGGGGGCACAGGGCTGTGTGTAGGAGTAGGTCCCGGGCAGAACCGAGTGCAGGGGAATGATCTCGAGTATTCGTTCGACTTCTCTTTGGCTGCAACTGGGAGGTTTGAGCGTCGGCTTTCCATGGCCGTTCGCCCTTTGCAAGTGCAGGCCTCTGAGGGGAGTGGACTCCTAGCGCCGATGCTCAATGGCCTGCTGGAGCAGGATTTCAAGCTGTATGTTTGTCAAATTCAGAGCTCTGGGCTGCGTTCGTTAGTTACCTATGCCACCCAGGCAGGGGCCTGGAGTGATACCATGGGACTAGGGGAACTGACAAGGGCCAGGTTGGAGACGAGAATAGTTCATTGATTTCCTCACTGGACATCCTTGACCCCCTTACCCTCTTTTTTGAACCATGAATGAATCTGGTGACATCCCGGCCACTAAACGGGGGTGAGGATGGGAGGCAAAACTTGTCAGACAAATAACGGGTGTGACCAATTTACCTGGGGAAAGGGAAATCGTGCAAATGTTGTGCCATGGGGATATTGAGGTGACGCACATGCCTTGCCAACCTAGGTACGTAGATTCTGTGAGTATGTAAGTTCCTGCTGAGGGGCCATGCCTCTGTATCTGGAGAAGGCTGAACTGGTGGCTAAGGGACTCTGGATATTGGGGTGCAATTTCTCTCTCTGCTGCAGATGCTAGACGACCTTGGTCAAGTCACTTGCTCTCTCCCTGCCTCTGCTCCTCATCTGTACAATGGGGATAATGAGACTTTCCACCCTCTGATACTACAGTGACAGGGCCCATGCAATTAGAGACAGAGCATCTGGCTGTGCTTCATCTCCCTTTATCCTACAAAGCATGCAATGGACCAGCCTGAGACAGGCCCTCTGGCTCTAACGTTATCTCGGGCTTGCTGGGGGCAGCCAGTTTCAGTGTACTTGTCTGGCCACGGAAGGGTCATGGCTCCTGTGTTTAAAAAAAAAAAAAGGGGGGGGGATCTGGCAGAGGCTCTGCTGAACTCTGATGCCAGTTGGTCTAGCCAGAGCCCGTGGCTTCGGAGTCCTCCAGCTCCTCTCCAAGCCCGGGGTGTGTTGGCAACTACCCTGCACATCTGCATGACGAAACGTCGGGTGCTTCAAAGGGACTTTGTGCAGCGGTTGGTGGAGAGAGGAAGGCGGGGGGGATCTCGGCGTTGCCTGGCGAGTCTGACAGTCTTTTGTGTTTGCCTTGCAGAGCCTGGACGGTGACCAAGCAATTCTCCAGAGGATAAGGAAATATGTGAAAGCCATTCATGTCTCCGGGCTCAGTAAGTTATGCTCCATAGGCAGTGGCATGCACTGGCGGGCGAGGGGAGGCGGTGGGTCGTGGCTGCCCTGAAGGGGGAGGCTTCTGCCAAGCAGGTGCTTGCAGCACTGCCTGCAATCTGAGGCCGTGCAACCATCCTCTGTGAGGAGTTAGGAGAACATCTCCCCACAGCCAGCTCGCTCTGGCGTTGACACAGGGCTGCCCCTGGTTTGCTCATCATGGCATTTTTGAGAGCTCAGCTGATGCCAAGCGCTTCCCCAGCGTACAGGCTGCGGGTTAGGATGTGCAATTGTACTGCGGGTGCTCTGAGGGGCCCCAGTCATGGCTCTTTGTACAGAGCCGAGCACAATCACAAATGCAATCAGGCCATCCATTCTTCGAGGCGGGTATCCAGCCTTTGGCAAGGACCTGAACCCGGTGCTGCAAAGGAATGCATGCATCTTCTAACTAGACAGGTGCTTCTATGGTTCTCATCACCAGTGTCCGAGTACCTAACTCCTGGATGAGAGGTGCAGGGCTCCTTCACCTGCAGATCATCACCTGATGCAAGATCTGATCTCCCCCTTTCAGTCTTAACAATAATTACAGAGCAGAGAACTACTCGAATCCAGCTGCAATGCAGGACTCTGTGACTCCTGAGGGCAGGGGACTGCACTACCAGCTGAGTGGAGTAGTGTTTTCATTTAATTTGCTCTAAATACAGGGAGCCCAGTCTAGTGGTTAAAGCATGAGAATTGTAATCTGGATATCTGTGTTCTGCTTCCAAGCCCTGATGATGTGTCTGAGACGCCCTGGGCAACACGCGGCTGGCTACTCTGTGCCTCAGTTTCCCCATGTGTAAAATTGGGGAAAATATCCACCTTGCACAGGGGCATTAAATGGTTGTATAAGGCAGAGAGGAAATGAGTAGCAAACATGGATTTATTGTTTGTTCTGGTAGTGACTAGGGAGTATCCATGATTAGGGCCCCATTGTGCTAGGAATGGTACAAACCTAGGCTGTAGAACCCAGGTGTCCTGAGGGAAGTCCCATAGCTAATCACCGGTAATAGTTACCATCCCGTGGCACTGGGAGGTGTAATTCTTGGCCAGGCACTGGGCCTGTGAACGGAAGGGGCTCCTGTTAGGCCAAGTGGTAGAACTGAGTTGACGAGCCGTTACTTTAACGGAACATGCACTGGTTCCCACATTACGGGAGTGGGTAGAATGGAGACCTCGATCGGTGATCCTGCGTCCCTTCACATCTCAATCCCTTTCAAGACTAAAGAATGCCAGCGTTTGCCATCTCTTGTCATGGTGTCTTGAAATCAGAGAGGGCCCTGTGCACATCTGGCAGGAACTGATTCACACCAGCTACAGATCTGGGCCAAAGTCCTTCATCCATTTCTGCTCTTGCAAGTCGCTCTCTTGGCTCTGCATTAATGTAATGCCCAGGCTGTACACCAGCCATTCCCATTTGGCTTTGATACTCTCTTAACAGGCAGGGGAGGAAATGTTCCGCTGACTCTCAAGCATCTTTAAATATTAAAGCCATGAGTTCAGCTTTTGAATGCTAAGTCGGCTGGAGAGTGCTTTGCAGTGTCTGGTGCTGGGCTCCTGGGCTGGCAGCGTCTGTCGAGCTCGCCCCTGGGCAGCACAGCCGCAAACAGTGGGAGGCTGGGAAATCAGATTTGAATTAAACAGCTTTTGCTTTCAAATAAGTCCCCTGGTTTCCTGGCAGCGAGCAGTAAACTTTGGAGAATCTCGCTGAGCCAAATCCTCCCTCTTCCCCAGAGTTAGTCCCTTCCCCAAAGCCCTCTAACTGATGGGACTGCGGGGGAGAACCTCTAGGTCAGGGATTAAAGGGAGAATGGGATGGGTGGGTCATACGGCAGCTTCAACAGGAGAGATTGAGAGAACCCCAGTGTGACAGGTTCGGTCACAGAGATCCCTTTGGGACTGTCACCTGGTGTGCTGAAATTACTTCTGAGCCCGTTTTCCTTGCTAGCTTGGGACTTCCAGAACCCTGTCTTGGTGAGCCAGACATGCTAGCCTGCTGCAGCACAGACCCAGGGTCTGGACCACCCCGAAAAACTGCAGATTGAACTAAAAACAGCTCAGCAGGTTACCCGTCTCCAGCACCCAGACACCCAGCTCCCAGTGGCATCCAAACCCCAAACAAATCCATTTTACTCTGTATAAATCTTATACAGGGTAAATCTGTAAATTGTTCACCCTCTATATCATTGATAGAGAGAGATGCACAGCTGTTTGCTCCCCCAGGTAGTAATCACTTACTCTGGGTTTATTAATAAATAAAAGTGACTTTATTAAGTATATAAAGTAGGATTTAAGTGGTTTCAAGTAATAACACAGAACAAAATAAGTCACAAAGCAAAATAAAAGAAAACACGCAAGTCTAAGTCTAATACATTAAGAAACTGATTACAGATAATATCTCGCCATCAAAGATGTTCCAATAAGCTTCTTTCACAGACTAGACTCCTTCCTAGTCTGGGCCCAATCCTTTCTCCTGGTACAGTCTTTGTTAGTTCCAGCAGACATCTCAGGTGGTAAGCAGGGGTTTTCTCATGGCAGCCCCTTTTGTCCTGCTCCACCCCCTTTTATATCTTTGGCACAAGGTGGGAATCTTTTGTCTGCTTGTCCCCACCCCCGCCTCATCAATGGAAAAGTACAATGATTAAGATGGATTTCAGTATCCTGTGACATGGTCACACGTCACTGTAAGACCCTGGCCTAGTCTCCATTCTTCCTGGGTTGGCCCACACGTACACAGGAAGGTTTGCAGGTAAATAAACCATTTCCAACCAATTGCCCTAGTCAATGGGAGCCATCAAGATTCTAAACCACCATTAATGGCCCACACTTTGCATAATTACAATTGGGCCTCAGAGTTATACTTCATATTTCTAGCTTCAGGTACAAGAATGATACATGCATACAAGTAGGAGGAATATATTCAGTAGTTTATAACCTTTGTTATGATACCTTACAGGAGACCTTTTGCATAAAGCAGTTACATCATATTCACACTCATAAGTGTATTTCCATAAAACATATGGAGTGCAACGTCACACCCAGGTCAGACTATCCCATGGTTATGACATTCTCCTGAGAAGTGGCAGATCCCACTTCAAATCCCTCCTCCCAGTGGGTGGAGGGGAGGACTTCAACTAGGGGTCTCCCCTGTAGAGTACCCTAACCACTGGGCTACGAGAGAGGTCCTCTCCCAGCCTTGGCTTCTTGCTGAAACCCCAAGAGAGCTTGCTGCAGAGAATCCAAGCGGAGGGAGGGACCGGTTTCTAAGAGTCGGAGGGGCTTAGCACATGCCTCTCGCCTTGGGGCCCCCCCCACGGGCCATTTTTGGTGAGGAGCCAGCGAGCATGCTGGCTTCTACCAATCCCCTTCTGAGACGCCATCTCTCCCCGGTCATTGTACTGGGAGCCCGGCTGCCAAACCTAGCCTTTGTGAATCCAGTGTCCCCACGCCAAAGTTTCTGTGTGAATCTAGCCCTTCATCTCTGGGTGACCCTGGGCACGTTACTTAAATCGAGATTTTAAAACAAACGGCTCGTGTCTTTGGACGCCCAACCGGAGAAGTCATAAAAGGGCCTGATGTTCAGAAGGAGTAAGCACATGCCTCTGAAAACCAGGTGCCTCCAGGTGGGTAACCAAAATCGCCCTTCGCCCTCCTCCCTCCGTGCTTCGGTTTTCCCCAGGGGGGTGACAGTGGTGATGTCCCTCCTGGGAGTGGGGTGAGGGTGGAAAGAGATTAATGATTGTAAATCACAGCTGGGGATTTATTTTGAATTTAAAATAATGTCCTTTAATGTGTAACCTTGAGTACAACATAGGTGCAAATCCTACTGAAACACCCCCCCCCCTTCCCTACACCTATTATTACAACCCCTAAATCTAATCAACAGGACAGTTTTGGGGTGGAGGCGGGCAGCAGGGAAGCCTGTACAGCTGTCCTGGGGCTCTAGTACTTATCTGTATCACACGAGTTTCCTACTTCTCTGATTACCTACCTACCTACCCACCTAGATCTCTTCTGTACTTGCAATCCCTGGTGCACCTGTGAGGTACTTGCATCTTCTCCAATGTGTCCATCCTCACGCCACACCTGGGAAGACGGGGAAGTGCTGTGACCCCCAATTTGATATATGGGGAACTCAGGCGCAGTCTAGGGAGGCAAGATTATCAGACACACTCCTCAATCCCCAGCTAGTGGGAGCAGCTGCAGAAGTAGCCAGAGCAGGGACCTCCTGATGTCATTGTTCAGTGACCTCAGACCCTTTGTGATGGCCTTGACTGGACTTTCTCTGCCCTGTGACTGGCTGGTTTGCTCCAGCACCTCTCCCCGGCCCCCGCATCTCTTTACCTCCCCTGCCTCTCTCACCCTCCTCTTTTCCCCTGCCCCTCCTCCGTCTTCCCTTCCCTTCCCACGCAGCTGACCCCTCTCCTAACGAAATCAATCACCCATTTAAAAAACATTGGTGGCACTGACATGCCATTCGCTCCCATCACATGGTTCACTCTGCTCATGTGTTCTACCCTGCCACCCATCCGTGCCTGTCTGGCCTCCTTAGGGCAAGGGCTGTCTACTACTCTGTTCGTACCGCGCCTAGCGCAATGGGACCTCGTGCTTGGGTGGTCCTAGTAATAACCGCCATTATTTATAATTTATAATATTTATAATAATCCAGGATTTAGGCTCCTAAGTCACTTAGGGCATGTCTACGCAGCACAGCAGCAAGTCTCAGAGCCCAGGGCAACTGACTTGGGTGTGAGCTGTGGGGCTAAAAATAGCCGTGTAGATGTTCAGGGCTGGAGTCTGGGCTCTGAAACGCAGTGATGGGAGAGGACCCTGACTGACACTGCAACATCGAGCCCTGCAGACAGCCCGGGACAGTTGATGTGGGCTGCCACCTTGGGGTTTTTTAGTTGTTGTTGCTGTGTAGACACACCCGTAGGCACCTCAGTCCCTTCTGAAAATGGGAGTTTGGCTTCTTGCATTAATTTAGATGGAATAACTGGGCCCAAAGAATCAAAGATGTTCAACATAAAACAGAGTTAAACAAGGTTCAGGGGCTGGGTATACAGAGACCTTCGCCTGCTTCGTCCCACGGCAAACCCCCCATGTAACCCTCCTTTCATTAAAGGAGAGAGTGTCAAAATGCACAGCATTATGGCTTTCATTTGAACAATGTCCCTTGCTCCCTTGCGCTGGAGAGAGGCTTTTTGAATGAAAATCCCCTTGTTTGACAGTCTCTTCAGTGGCCATAACCGTCCCTGTGGGGAAAAGAGGAGACGTTAGTTGACGAGCGGGAGGTCGCATTGTTAATGTCTGAACCTGTTTCCCAGAAGACCAAACCAGACAGACAGACAGACACACGCACACACGAGAAAAGAACAGCAGAGAGAGAAGATGGAGCTTGTGCATCTGGGGTTGACTTGCAACCTCAGTTGCTGAAAAGGCACAGACCAGGGTGATCCGGTGTCTAGTTTTCAACCGGAACGCCCAGTTGAAAAGGGACCGCGGTGGCTCCAGTCAGCACCGCCGACCGGGCCATTAAAAGTCCCGCAGGCTGTGCTGTGGTGCTAAGGCAGGCTAGTTCCTACCTGTCCTGGCACCGTGCTGCGCCCTGGAAGCGGCCAGCAGGTCTGGTTCCTAGGCGGGGGGGCCATGGGGCTCCGCGCGCTGAGCACTGGCTCCGCACTCCCATTGGCTGGTTCCCAGCCAATGGGAGCTCGGGGTTGGGGAGGGGGCTGTTCCTGAAGGGGAGAGCGGCATGTGGAGCCTCCTGGTCCCCCGCCTGGGACCCGGACGTGGTGGCCGCTTCGGGGGCACACGCAGCTGCAGTGTGGTGCCAGGACAGGGAGGCAGCCTGCCTTAGCCCCGCAGCCCTGCTGGCCGACGTAAGCCCTGAGCCCCCCACAAACCCAGAGCCCCCTCCTGCACCCCAAACCTGCATCCCTGGCCCCACCTCAGAGGCTGCACCCCAAACCCCCCATCCCTGGCCCCACCTCAGAGGCTGCACCCCCTCCTACACCCCAACCTCCTGCCTCAACCCTCGGCCCCAACCAGTGTTCCCTCTAATATTTGACAGGCCGTGTGTGCAAAAAATTTCTTCTGTGCAAATTGTTGTGCTTCTGTGCACATTTTTTGGGGGTGCGGTGTTTTGCTGTGTGCGCGGGATTTAGGATCTGTGTGCACGCGCACAGCTGAGAGGGAACAGTGGCCCCAACCCTCAGCCTGGAGCCCCTGCATCCCAAACCCCTCATCCCCCACCCCAGAACCGGCACCTCCAGCCCAGAGCCCTCACCCCCTCCCACACCCCAACCTCCTGCCTCAACCCGCAGCCCCCTCCCACACTCCGAATCCCTCGGCCGCAGCCTGGAGCCTCCTCCCGCACCCCAACCCCACTCCAGAGCCTGCACCCGCAGCCGGAGCCCTCACCTCAACTCTGTGCCCCACCCTGGAGCCTGCACCCCAGTTAGAGCCCTCACACTCTCCCGCCCCGCAGCCCCCTGCCCCAGCCCAGTGAAAGGGAGTGAGGGTGGGGGGAGAGCGAGCCACAGAAGAAGGGGGGATGGAGTGAGTGCGGGGCAGGGCCTTGGGGAAGGTGCGGGGCTGGGGTGTTTGGTTTTGTGCGACTAGAAAGTTGGCAACCCTATCACAGACCCAGCACGCGGTCTGATCAGCCACTCTGAGACCTGGCAAACTTATACCAGTATCGGGGGGTGAGGTAAGGCGTTGCTTTTAGTCACCTCTTTTGGGGCACAGTCTCATAGCAGTGTTGTAAAATCTACAGTCTTGGCAGGCTGGACAGAAGGCCAAAGGCGGGGCGGGGGCAGGCGGGGGGGGGAGAAAGAGAAGAAATAAGGTGAGGGCTAGGAAAAGGACACACTGGGTGTGTGTTTGACAAAGTCTCATCCCAGGTGGTAGTTGGGAGTCAGCTGGAGGTGACGATGTTATCTGGGTGTGTCTCTCTGGCTCGCTGTAGTCAGGACACCTCTCAGGATTAGGCTGATGAAGGCCTGGGATCCCAGGAGATGGAGGGGTGGCTGATGAAGGCCTAGGGTCCCAGGAGATGGAGGGGTGGTGGCCATGATGGTGACGCTTGCTCCAGTAGCCAGTTTTTCTCCCCAAAGTCTTTCTTTAAAGACCTCAAAGGGAGTGTGGGTGGACTAGCCCCTCCCCATCAATTAGGCCTAATAACCAACAAACCAATTTTGGTTCATTTAACTTCTGGTCTCATGTTTTGTCATTTGCCAGGTGTGATCTGAACACAGGCGTTGAGTTCTAGCAGGAGGCCTTTTTGTTTGGACTAATTCAGTTTTTCTGTCTTGCTTTTGCATCTTTTTCCATCAACACCTGTGGTTGGGTCATTGGGATGTCTCATGAACTTTCACTCATTCTTCACAGTGGAGCTCATAATCCCGAGCTCCTCCCACCTTTCCCAGTAGGAGGTGCTGTAGAGAATGGCGCATGAGCACGAGCTTCAGGGGTGCTTGTGTAACCCACACACCTCCTGGGTGTGGTGCTCTGTCCCATCTATTGGCACCGAGACCACTTGGAGAGAGAGACAAAATGAGTCTGCTCTACAGCCTTACCTAAGAACTAGTTGGCTTTTAGCTCACACGGTAGAGGCTCATGCACTAAGCTCCAGAGGTCCCCGGTTTGATCCCGCCCGCCGACAATCAGGGTCTGTCGGCATTACACTTGCATCTACTTCAGCAGGGGGTGCTAGAGAGAAAGGCGTATTGGCTGGATCTGGCTGTTCACAGCCTCTCCCAGCAGGAGGCGCTGTAGACAACCGCACAGTACTGCTGTCTGGGGGGAAACATCACAGCTGCTCGTTGCCAGCACATGGAGTCTCCGTAGACCTTTGTCCTGGGTTTCACTGGTGTCGTCTCTTCCCCGCAGCACATGTCGAGAATGAGGAGCAGTACAGTGAATCTCTGGAGAACTTCGGCAACAACCACCTGTCTCAGAACAATCACGAGCTTTCCACCGGCTTCCTGAACCTGGCGGTCTTCACCAGAGAAGTGACCGCGCTCTTCAAGAACCTGGTAAGGAGCTGCTGCTCTCAATTCCTGCACCCTCTGTGTTTCACTGACACCACACCCCCCACACCCTCCCCCGTCTTGGTGACCGGGGACGAGACAGTGTGAACAGAGTGATCTGCGTGGGCACTTCTGGCTAAGGGACCAGGAAGCAGAGGGAGGGGTGTGATACCAGAGAGAAAGTACAGTGATTGTGGGGAGGCTGTTAGACCTGTGTCTTGGGGCAGCTCTTCTTTTGGGGACCCAGTGTAGGATGGTGGCCCTTCTGAAGTCTCCCCACCTCCGTCATGACACTGGGGTGTCTATCCTGCCACACCCCATAGCCACATCATGATGAAACATCTCCATGCGATAGCCCAAGGGATATAATGGGTGGCTTTCCGCCACCTGTGATGTCAGGGCACAGTGGCCTGGTCCCGCTTGGGACCCTCATGGATCGTACTGAAACAAGAGACGAGACCCAAGCAGGACACCGGATCCCAATTCCCAACAGGGCTTGGGGGCAGTTCCAATCCAGAAGCTGAGTCAGATCCTCTGCTGGTGTAAACTGGAGTAGCTCTGTTGAAGTCAGTGTAGCTCTGTTGATTTGCACCAGCTCGGAGTCTGACCCTGTCTCTTCAGTGACCCTGAACTGGGGCGCTGAATCCAAATGCTTCATCAAGGCCAGTGAAAGCTGAGAATCTTTCCATTGATTTCAATGGGCTTTGGGTTAATCCCTTAAAGCGTAAATGTTGGGGGTAAGGGGATGGCGTGAATGTTCCTTAGTTCTAGGGTGTAGAGATCTCTGGGTCTCCCTCTTTGGCTCAGATCCAGGCTGCTCTAAAATCATTTTAAAAATTGGCCAGTTTTGTGTGTCTCCCGCATAGAGTCTGGATGTGCTCCAACATCACTAAACCTGAGGGGAAACTCTCTTGTTTCTTAGCTGGTGGCAAAACCTTCCTCCTCTTGGAACCGACGGATCTCGCTGCAGGGAGTCCTGCATTCACCTGTGCCAGGTCATGCATACAACATTTAACATGAACATGCACACACGTACCGGGGTAGGGAGACCTCAGAGGTGCATGCACTTCCCTTGGGGGTCTGTGTGCGCGCATCCTGTTGATACGGGTACTTGCCTGGGACACGAGTGTACCTTTGATGCGTACACACTGGCTCATCCTGCTGTGTGTCCAGGGGTACCAGCAGGAATGTTGAGTTCATGCAATAATGTGGAGGCAGGTCTATATGCCCAGGGCAAAAGGCAGGTGCACACACTGCACGGACAATACAGGAGCAGATCTCAGGCTAGCCTGCAACACGACCTTTCCAGTCTCCGAGCATTCGGGACAATAGGGCATTGTTTGGCAGTGCAAATCTCCTAATGATTTTAGCTTAAGTTGGGCCCAACACGGTACTGCTGATCCAGGGAATGGTAATTAACCAAGTGCTTTTCTTGGCTGTTACTGTCGTTTATAAGCTTTAAAGCCTTTGTGGTCCAATTCCCTGTCAGTCTCGCATGCATCCTCTCGTGGCCTAGCTGGAGGAAAATCTCCATAACACTCCCAGCCAATTCCGGGTTCAGGAAAGATCAAGGACACCATTGATGCGGTTGCCTCGTTGCTTGCTAAATCGAGCAGTGTAGAATTTGTTGAATATCCTGTATCAGAGGCTTATCTCCTACCCTGGCTGGGACAAGGACTCGGGGTGGGAGGAGGCCGATATCTGTTTCACATCAAAAGCATCTATGATCCTTTTCAGAGTAACAGCCGTGTTAGTCTGTATTCGCAAAAAGAAAAGGAGTACTTGTGGCACCTTAGAGACTAACCAATTTATTTGAGCATGAGCTTTCATGAGCTACAGCTCACTTCATCGGATGCATACCGTGGAAACTGCCTATGATCCTGTTTGCCAAGAAGGGAATCAAAACACAGCAAGGCCTGTCAGAAGGAAGGAGCCCAAGGGAGTGGGGACAATGGATAGAATATCAACCTAATTAAAGAGGTAGGGGGTGGGGGTCTTAATGCCAAACTGCCTGAGGCCAAATTAACCTGAAATCTGGTTCCTTCAAGACCTTTCAGTCCCTGCATGGTGGAATCTGTGCTGAGAAGAGGTCGGATCCCATGATGCTTTGGACTAACAAGCCCACACCCCGAGGAAGTTGGGTCCGCGAGAAATGCGGTCAGTGGGAAGAGCCTGGCCTCTTGCCCGCGCGCCCTGGTGGAAGTCAATGGGGTTGCATTGTCATCCCAGCTCAGACAGCGTTTCCCCCAGGTCTGTTAACGGGAAGCCTGAAGCAAACGCATTCAGTAGCCCCGATAGAAAATGGGGGGGAGAGGAATTGGGGGAGGAAAAGAAAGCTTCATGAAATTTTCCTCGGTTTTGGGTCAACATTTCATTTGGTTGGAAATTCTCCACCCCCTCCTTGTCCTCAGCAGAACTTAACTAAGCAGGGATCTTGGAGGAGCTGTCCTGGGAAAGGCGTAGAACTGGTTGCTCTGGTTAACGGGCTGGGGCAGAGGCGAGTCTTTCCACTTATACACACGCACTTGCATGACCTGCACTCCTCGCTGTTCCTGAGTATGCACACCCTTCAGCTGTGTGAAATAGACACTCAGTGGGACCTTCTTAATTGCTCCCTTCCCTGCTCCGAGTGCTTTTCCAGGCAGGTGAATCCCTGCAGGCCAGAGAAGTGTGTGTGTGTGTGTGTGTGAGAGTGAGAGAGAGACAAGCGAGCACCCAGATAGCAGGGTATGAAGGTTACGTGCTGGCACCTGGATTCCCTTCAAGAGGGGAGGATGCTGCTTGCTCCTGTCGCTCCCTGGGCAATCCAAACTCAGTTGCTCACCAGGCTTCCCGGGGCCTTCCCCAGCTACATTCCCCTGTTGTGGCCCCGTGGTTGTGTCCTGCTGCTGACCCTGTTCCTCCTCTGCGCCGCGTGTGGTATAAATGCTTAGAAGTGGAGAACGTTGCCTCTAGCCCCTGTGGGAGGGGTAAGCCCCTCCCTGGCCCCCTACTGCATAACACTCGGCAGGAAGGCATGACCCCTCCGTGGTACCCTGTGCTGTCAGCCGGTGCCAGGAGGGCATTGCTCGCTCCGGCTGGCTTGAGCCAGTGCACTGAGGTGGTCCAGGCCTTCTTGGCACATGGGTCCCCTGGGGTAGACTGACTGGGCCCTGATGCCAGGAGTCCTGGTCTAATGATTTAAAATGGTTCTAATCCCATTGTGCCCAGTCACTTCACGCCCCACCCCACCCCAGAGACCTCCCCTGTGGGGAAGCACAAAGCAGGTCTGATCACGGCCCCCTCCCGCAACAGCTGGGGCTGGCTTTGGGCAAGTGCCAGGTGTTTCTGCCTGTGGGGGAGGGGATGCTCTTTAAAAGTTCATCCGTTCATTCATGGGAGGGGAGAGTGTAGCGGGTGCGTGGAGGCTTGGGCGAGATCCTGCTTCTGCTGGAGCCTGTTGCAAAACTCCTCTGACAGCCGCGGAGCCGGACTGGCCCCTCGGAAAGCTGGTCGCTTGGTGAAAGCCAGGTTATGAAATTGGGATGAGCGCTTTAGAGCCCCATAGTGGGTGGATGGGGCCATAGACTCCCCCCTTGCTCTTTGCAACGCAGCCCTGCCAGTGGCCCTCAATCCTGATCCCGAGCCCTGGGCACCCCCCCCCCCCGACCCACACAGCTCTGGCCATGCCCTCACTCCCGACCCACAGCCCCCCTGCTATTCTAGCCCCTGGGCTTCCTCCCCAACCCACATAAGTCTGGCCATGCCCCTCATTCCTGACCCGCAGCCCCCCTGCTATTGTAGCCCCTGGGCTTCCCTCCTCACCCCGACCCACACAGCTCTGGCCATACCCCTCGCTCTTGACTCTCAGCCCCCCATTCCAGGCCAGAGTCAAGTGTTTGGGGAGGGGTGAGTTGAGCCAGTGGAGCAGATTAAAGAGAAAAGTGCTGAAATAGGGTCATGGGGACCTTCCAGAAAAGCTGGACTATTCCTGGGCTCCAATCCAGGCCTGAGCCTGGGCGAGTGGGGTGGCAACCTGCAGCCATCCCAGCAGGTGTGTTCAGAGTTGCCCCCTGCCTCTGCGTGCTGCAGTCAGCCCCCCGGAGCCCAATGCTTTCAGGCTGCGTTCTGTGTGTGGGTCGCAGCTCTGGTCCCCGGCTGCATTCCTTGACCTGGCTGGGCGTGTGCAGGCTTGTAACTTTCAGCAGTAAATCGTGTTTTCTCAGTGCAATGTATCCCGCTCCTTTCTCGATTCCTGGCAGTGTTTATGCCACCTCCACCCCTGGTCTCCCTGTAGTATTTCCTCTTCCCCGCTTTGCCTTGGAAAGCGACACAGATTCCACGGACTCAGTGAGCCAAGGCCTCTGGGTTTGCTTTAACTTTCTTTTTCTGCCAGTGTTTCTGCTTTCCCTCTCCCCCCATCCAAACCTTGGCCAATAGTTCCCCTCTCCTCCACGCTTCCCCGCCCCGAATACCACTTCATAATGAGGCGTGGTGGTTTAGTGGTTAGAGTAGGCAGGAATTGGGTGTCAGGACACCCGGGTTCCATTCCTATCTCTGAGAGGGAGAGTGACTGATATCATAGTTACAGTGTGGGATGGCTACTCGAGGGACCATTTCCCAGTTCCGCTGCTGGCTCTCTACAAACGTTCTCAAGTTGTGTTGGCTTTCTGTGCCTCAGTTCCCCCCCCCCCCAACAAACAAACATTTGTCTGGTTTCACAGTACTAGCCATGTTAGTCTGTATCCGCAAAAAAAAAAGAGGACTTGTGGCACCTTAGAAACTAGCAAATTTATTTGAGCATAAGCTTTCCTGAGCTACAGCTCACTTCATTGGATGCAACATTTGTCTGTCTCCCCGGGGGTTGTGAGGGTTAATTAGCATTTGTAAAGTGCTAAATGTCAAAGTGGGGGGAGATCAGTGGTGGCTATCTGAGAGGCGGGGGGAAATCAGTGGTGCTATCCCAATAGGCCGGCATCACGTGTGACTCTTCGGTGAGGGTGCGAAAGGCACAGGCATTGGCATTAGGGCTGTGGGTAAGAACCCCCTCAGTCGTGGATCAGGCCCCGTTGTGCTAGGTGCTGTACAAACAGACGGTTCTGGTCCCAAAGATCTTAAAATCCTGGTTGTGTGAGCATCTCATAAACACTCAAGAGTTTATCCTCCCCCGAGGAAGTAGGGCAGGATTGCGATCCCTGTTTTACAGATGGGGAACTGAGGCACAGAGCGTTCCAATGGCTTGGCCAAGATCACACACAGTCTGGGGACCAAGGAATTCATCCCAGATCTCCTGAGTCCAGGGCTCTAACCACTAGGCCATCCTCCCTCTGCAGCTGAGCCTCCTGGCTTGCAGTCAAAACGCAACATCAAGTGCGGAATGGTTGATGGCCTTTTGCGCCTGCCCCCCATCTCTGAGCTTCTGGAGGTTGCTGTCCTAACCCTCCCGTTTCCCCACCTGCACCCCTGGAAAACACCCCATGTGGGATCAGAGCTGTGGTTTCACGTTCCAACATGGATGTCCCCCCAGTCACATGAGAGATGCCAGTGAAGGATTCACAGGAACCCCAGTGATGGTTTGAAACTGCCCCTATTCCCCCTCCTGTCCCCCGAAACTCTTCTGGCTGCAGGGAGCTGGTGTCCCACTGGAAGCCTGTTCGGAGGGACGTTCCAGGTTCCTTCCGATGCTGGGAAGAGGCTTGTGTAGCAGTGCTGGCAGCTTCTCGCGCTCTCTGCTGCAGCATTTAATTTTGTGCCGCTCTCCTCCCCTGGAGAACTGCTTTGATCGTTGCCTTCGGGGTGGCATGGGGGTGGGAGGGGTGCTTGGACTAACCTCCCACTGACGTGGTTTGTGGTAACAGCCCCACATCAGACATCTTGCAGCCATCCCCAGCTAACCAGCTACATCTGGCACAAAGTGGGCCCTTCCCCCTCATCTTAACGGTTAAATCCATGCCAGCTCTCCCAGGTGGCCAGAACCTGCCTGGCTCTTAATACTTAGCAGGGATGGGACTTGCCTGACCTCTTTGATCCCGAAGCTGCAGGGTGCAGTGTACCCTGCCTGTGTCCAGTCCTGGGAGGAGGAGAAGAGGGCTGTTACGCTGTGGTCTGATAGGGATGGTACTGGTTTCAGATTTGGGAGACCTGGCTCTGCCACTGACCTGCTGTGTGCTCTTGGGAAAGCCCCTTTGTTGCTCTGTGCCTCAGTTTCCCCACCTGCTCTTTTGTCTGACTGTTTAGATTGTGAGCAATTTGGGAAGGGACTGTCTGTTTCTCACTAAGTGTCTGTGCAGTACACTGCATAACAATGCCCTGATCTTCATAATGCCGAGAGGCCCCGATTGTAATACAAAGATTTCCTTTAAACCCACCGCTGTGGTGATGCCTCCAAAACACTGGTCTAAGGTCAGGCCGCTGGTGTGCTGTGAGGTAATCTGATGGTAATCCTCTTGCTGTTAGCCGGTGTTACTTCCTTGTCTGGCTGCCGTACTCCTCTGTTGTCTCTCCTGTTAGACCTGGCTGGTAAGCTCTTCAGGGCGGAGACCTTCTTTTCAATATATGTGTTTGGCATTGCTCTAATCTCTCATTGTGGCCTTCAATCACTGCTATGATACAACGAATGAATAGCCCAGAGCGATATTTTCTATTGTTAGTTGCAGTGTTCAGATGGCCTATGGAACAACCTGCCACAGGAAAGTTGTGCAGCCAAAGCCTCGTGGCTATGCTTTTTAAATACAGCCCACATACTGTCTCATCAAGAGGATGTCATTCCCCAGATTGATATGAAGGGAGCATCGTGCAGTGGGTCCACTAGTCTCCAGCTCCAGATTCGCCAAGGGACATTTGCACTCCAGGACCCATCAGCAGGGGCGGTTCCTCTGTAGTCAGTTGCACACACCAACAGGCCCCTACCTAGCTTGAGTACCAGTTTTGTCTCCCTTGCTTACCAGGGGTCGCACCCTGCCTGGAACACACTCCAGCACCTGGGGGCACCTAGTGGCTAAATAAGGTACTGCTGATAAACCAATTGTCCTATGGGTGCAGTGGCTGGGCAGCCGGTGCCGTTAAGGGCTGAGGGGCCTGCACCAGCCGCTTTGTAACCAGTCCTTGTTTTGCTGGATTTTCCAGGTGCAGAATCTGAACAACATCGTCTCCTTCCCCATGGAGAGCCTGCTAAAGGGGCAGCTGAAAGATGGCCGGCTGGTAAGTTCCCACTCAGGTGGTGGGCACTTGATGTGTGGAGGTGCAAGATGGCAGGGGGGAACCCAGGAAGGAAGGCTGCCATTTAATGTTGCTGTGTCCTTGTCTGGGGTTGGCTCAGGATACGGACCCTGGACTTCAGGAAAGCAAACTTCAACTCCCTCAGGGAACGGATGGGTAGGATCCCCTGGGGGACTAACATGAAGGGGAAAGGAGTCCAGGAGAGCTGGCTGTATTTCAAGGAATCCCTGTTGAGGTTACAGGGACAAACCATCCCGATGTGTCGAAAGAATAGTAAGTATGGCAGGCGACCAGCTTGGCTTAACGGTGAAATCCTAGCAGATCTTAAGCATAAAAAAGAAGCTTACAAGAAGTGGAAGGTTAGACATATGACCAGGGAAGAGTATAAAAATATTGCTCGGGCATGTAGGAATGAAATTAGGAGGGCCAAATCGCACCTGGAGCTGCAGCTAGCGAGAGATGTTAAGAGTAACAAGAAGGGTTTCTTCAGGTATGTTGGCAACAAGAAGAAAGCCAAGGAAAGTGTGGGCCCCTTAATGAATGAGGGAGGCAACCTAGTGACGGAGGATGTGGAAAAAGCTAATGTACTCAATGCGTTTTTTGCCTCTGTCTTCACGAACAAGGTCAGCTCCCAGACTGCTGTGCTGGGCATCACAACATGGGGAATAGATGGCCAGCCCTCTGTGGAGAAAGAGGTGGTTAGGGACTATTTAGAAAAACTGAACGTGCACAAGTCCATGGGGCCGGATGAGTTGCATCCGAGAGTGCTAAAGGAACTGGCGGCTGTGATTGCAGAGCCATTGGCCATTATCTTTGAAAACTCGTGGCGAACGGGGGAAGTCCCGGATGACTGGAAAAAGGCTAATGTAGTGCCAATCTTTAAAAAAGGGAAGAAGGAGGATCCTGGGAACTACAGGCCAGTAAGCCTCACTTCAGTCCCCAGAAAAATCATGGAGCAGGTCCTCAAAGAATCAATCCTGAAGCACTTACATGAGAGGAAAGTGATCAGGAACAGTCAGCATGGATTCACCAAGGGAAGGTCATGCCAGACTAATCTAATCGCCTTCTATGATGAGATTACTGGTTCTGTGGATGAAGGGAAAGCAGTGGATGTATTGTATCTTGACTTTAGCAAAGCTTTTGACACGTCTCCCACAGTATTCTTGTCAGCAAGTTAAGGAAGTATGGGCTGGATGAATGCACTATAAGGTGGGTAGAAAGTTGGCTAGATTGTCGGGCTCAACGGGTAGTGATCAATGGCTCCATGTCTAGTTGGCAGCCGGTGTCAAGTGGAGTGCCCCAGGGGTCGGTCCTGGGGCCGGTTTTGTTCAATATCTTCATAAATCATCTAGAGGATGGTGTGGATTGCACTCTCAGCAAATTTGCGGATGATACTAAACTGGGAGGAGTGGTAGATACGCTGGAGGGCAGGGATAGGATACAGAGGGACCTAGACAAATTGGAGGATTGGGCCAAAAGAAATCTGATGAGGTTCAATAAGGATAAGTGCAGGGTCCTGCACTTAGGACGGAAGAACCCAATGCACAGCTACAGACTAGGGACCGAATGGCTAGGCAGCAGTTCTGCGGAAAAGGACCTAGGGGTGACAGTGGACGAGAAGCTGGATATGAGTCAGCAGTGTGCCCTTGTTGCCAAGAAGGCCAATGGCATTTTGGGATGTATAAGTAGGGGCATAGCGAGCAGATCGAGGGACGTGATCGTCCCCCTCTATTCAACATTGGTGAGGCCTCATCTGGAGTACTGTGTCCAGTTTTGGGCCCCACGCTACAAGAAGGATGTGGATAAATTGGAGAGAGTCCAGCAAAGGGCAACAAAAATGATTAGGGGTCTGGAACACATGAGTTATGAGGAGAGGCTGAGGGAACTGGGATTGTTTAGTCTGCGGAAGAGAAGAATGAGGGGGGATTTGATAGCTGCTTTCAACTACCTGAGAGGTACTTCCAGAGAGGATGGTTCTAGACTATTCTCAGTGGTGGAAGAGGACAGGACAAGGAGTAATGGTCTCAAGTTGCAGTGGGGGAGGTTTAGGTTGGATATTAGGAAAAACTTTTTCACTAGGAGGGTGGTGAAACACTGGAATGCGTTGCCTAGGGAGGTGGTGGAATCTCCTTCCTTAGAGGTTTTTAAGGTCAGGCTTGACAAAGCCCTGGCTGGGATGATTTAATTGGGGATGGGTCCTGCTTTTGAGCAGGGGGTCGGACTAGATGACCTCCTGAGGTCCCTTCCAACCCTGATATTCTATATGATTCTATGATTCTTGTGTGTCCAACTCCTTGCCAGGAGTGGGTCCTTCCACCTATGGTAGATGGCTCCCCTGTGTTTCCTCCTTGATTGATTGCAGCACCTCTGTGAGGCTCTGCAATGGCTCATGCTCATACCCACTGCGTTCGGGCAGCCTCCTGAGACCCGCGGGAGACAGGCTCCCCTCCTGAGGATCTCGGAAGGTGCCCTGCTACAGATCTTGGGAGTCAGGAAGGGAAAGCCCTGACCTTCCTTAGCTCCCTGTTCCTGTTACAACACACTGTGTAGACATCTGCTGCGGTGGGGACATGGACAGTTCAGAGTTGCTCCCTGGGGGTGTTGAGCACCCCAGGATCTGAGGTTGGGAGATGCCTTGGCTATTGTTGCTTATTCATTGCCAAAGGCTTTTATGGACTGCTCAGAGCAGCCCTCCACACTGGAGCGCCCTGCCTTCCCCCTACCAAAGGAGCAGGGTTCCCATCACAGCCAAAGCACTTTCCTTCCGCACCTTGATCACAGCAAGGAGACAGAGCTGCCTAGCAAGTCACATGGCCCTCCGGCCACAGCCAGCCCTGCAGCAGGGCCCGCAATGACCAGACCAAAGAGCATCTCCTGGGAGTTGCGTTAGTAATATTCTTGTGTGGCTTATAAGTGCCTGGAGGTCCCAGCTGAGAGCTGGGACCGTTGTGCTGGGAGCTCCACAGACACGGGGTGAGAGACCGGCTCTGCCTCAGAGACCGATGGGGTAACTAGAGCAGCCTGGTTTCTGTTTTGGTCGGGGAAGCTGAAGCACGGAGCAATCAAAAGGTGGCCAAGGTCATACAGGGAGCCTGTGGCAGAGGCAGGGATTGGACCCAAGTCCAGGGCCTCCCCCAAGAGATGATCCTTCCCCCCAAAGCAACCTCTTAACTCTGCTTTGGGCCAGACTCGACCAGCAGCAGAGTTTGTCTCTTCTCCTGTAAGGGCCTCTCCCCGGCTGGCAGGTGTTACGGGGCTAAAGCCTGTGAGGGGCTGTTACTCTCTCCAGTTCCAGCTCCTAGCAGGCCCCAGTCTGCTAATACCTGGGGAACACGAGACATGTCTTCCTGTGCCCTGGGAACCTGTCACCCTGTGCCTGTCATGAGGGGATCCTGGAGGCCAGTCCTGCACCGGCGTTCTCTGGAGGGCAGCTCAGAGCTGTGGTGAAGCAGCTGCAGCCCTCGGGCATGTTGCGAATGTCCCCCGGGGTTGGGCAGATCTGGGTGCCGCCGACATGTCTAGTGTCTTGCACGCCTGGCTCAAGCGGGGTGGTCTGGGTGTGCACAGCCTTCTCCCCGGGGGGGCAGGGTTAGGGGGTACAGGGAGGGGCCTAGGGGAAGAAATAAGGCTGGCAAAATGGTAACCACAACTCCCTCCCCCATCCCTGGCTCTCTGGTCCCATCTCCTTGGCGCCTCCCGAGCTGCGCCCTGAGAGAGCCTGCCAAATGGGTCCCTCTGGACTGGGGACTCTGGCTCTTGTCTCCTGTAGCGTGAAAAGCTGGTTGTCCCTCAACAAACCACTTCTCCCCCGACCCACCACGTTTTCCCATCCATCCCTGCCTTTGCCTTCCGCTGCTGGCTAGAACTGGCCCTAAGAGCTGAGACTCACATGGGTCTTTCTGCAGGTTCCGCCTCTGCCTTGTGATCTGATTAAAGCGTCTCCCTTCACATAGCAGGGCTTGTGATGTGGCACCGGGAAGCAGATGTGCCCTTCGGGGTGACCCGGTCTGTACCTGGTGGTGGGGTGGGGCTGAGGACCCAACAATCTTCTTCCTCCCCATCCCTTGGGGTAGGGGACTAAGAATACCAGGCAGTCTCTTCTGCCACCTGATCGGTGGGGGTGTTGAGCAGGGGGGGCTGTCCCTTCCTCTGTCCCCCCTGACCTGACTCCGGTGGGGGTGGAGTGGCCTCGGGGCTGCAGCGCTGCTGGGTCATGCTTCCACATCTGTGCTCTGCTAGAGTCAGAAGTGTGTGGGGAGCCCAGGACCACAGTGGTGGTGGGGACAGCAGGCCGGGATGGAGGTGAATGAATGGGACTGTGTGTGATGTTGCACTCCATATGCTTTATAAAAATATGTGTTTAAGTGTGAATATGATGTAACTGGAATATGCTTTATGTGAAAGGTCTCACAGTAGTCTCAGAGACCCCCTTGGGACTGTCCCCTGACATGCTGAATTTACCTCTGAACCCGTTTTCCCTGCCAGCTTGGGACTCCAGAACCCTGCCTTGTTGAGCCAGACACTCTAGCCTGCTGCAACACACACCCAGGTCTGGTCCACATGCCCCAAAGCTTCAGAGTTTAACCAAAAACTGCTCAGCAGGTCACCTATCTTCAGCACCCAGACACCCAGCTCCCAATGGGGTCCAAACCCCAAATAAATCCGTTTTGCTCTGTATAGAGTGTATACAGGGTAAACCCATAAATTGTCTGCCCTCTATAACACTGATAGAGAGAGATGCACAGCTATTTGCGCCCCCAGGTATTAGTCACTTACTCTGGGTTTATTAATAAACAAAAGTGATATTTTATTAAGTATAAAAGTAGGATTTAAATGGTTTCAAGTAATAACAGACGGAACAAAGTAAGTTACCAAGTAAAATAAAACAAAACATGCAAGTTTAAGCTTAATACATTAAGAAACTGATTACAGGTAAATTTCACCCTCAGAGCTGTTCCAATAAGTTTATTTCACAGACTAGACTCCTTCCTAGTCTGGGCCCAATCCTTTCCCTTGGTACAGTTCTTGTTAGTTCCAGCAGGCATCTTAGGTGAAAAGCAGGGGCTTTCTCATGACTGGGACCCCCTTTGTTCTGTTCCACCCCCTTTTATATCTTTGGCACAAGGCAGGAATCTTTTGTCTCTCTGGGTTTCCACCCCTCCTTCTAAATGGAAAAGCATCAGGTTTAAGATGGATTCCAGTATCCTGTGACATGGTCACATGTCCTGTGATACCCCCTCCATTCTTCCAGGGCTGGCCCGCAGGTACACAGGAAGGCCTGCAGGTAAATAAATCATTTCAAACCAATTGCTCTAGTCAATGGGAGCCATCAAGATTCTAAACCAACATTAATGGCCCACACTTTGCATAATTACAGTAGGACCTCAGAGTTATGCTACTTATTCCTAGTTTCAGGTACAAGAATGATACATTCATACAAATAGGATGACCACACTCGGTAGATTATAAGCTTTGTAATGATACCTTACAACAGACCTTTTGCATAAAGCATATTCCCGTTACATCATAGTCACGCTTATAAACATATTTTTATAAAGCATCTGGAGTGCAACGTCACACTGTGTATAGAGCCTAACCCAAGAATAGCAAAGGATGCGCAGTGCTGTCCAGCCCTGCTCTGCATTGGCAGGAGGGGGAGATAGGCCTGCTCTGTGCCCGCCTGCCCTTTTCCTTGCCAAGTAGGATTGGTCCCTGACTTTCCTGCGGCGCTGCCCTCGCTAATTGCTGCTCCCTCTGTGTTGCAGGATTACAAGAAGCAGATTGAGAAGGCCTGGAAGGATTATGAGACCAAAGTGTAAGTAGTCGCGTTGCCTCTGGCAGGAACAGGCTGATCCTCCTCCTCTAAACAAAGGGGTTTTGTGTGGGGGCTGCAGCTTGGGAGGTGGCCGGATCCTGTCAGCAAACGAGGTCACCGGCTGTAAATTGCAGGCTCCCGACTGGCCAGGCTCCAGCGTAAGTCGCTGGTTAATACCATCTGGGTGTTGAGCACTAAAAGGAGATTGGGGCAGGAGAGCTGGCTTGGGGGAATCTCCTGGCTCCTCCAGCCCCTCCTAGCAGGAGGCGCTGTAGAGAATGATCCTGCATCTTGGCGGGGGTTAGACTAGATGACCCTTGCTGTCCCTTCTAACCCCGTGGTTCTATGATGGGGCTGTATGGACCAGTGCAGGAGAGTTGGCTGAGGGGGAAGCTCAGAGTTTTGCCTCTCCCAGTGGGTGCCTCTCCCAGTTGGGTCTTGCCAACAAGAACTTGGGAGTAATCCAAGAGCACAGGAGGTTGGTTCGGTCTTGACTCTTGCCTCTGGCTGTCCTGTCTCCGCAGAGCAAAGATCGAAAAGGAGAAGGAGCGAGCCCGGATAGCGGGCGTCATCCAGGCGGAGCCGTCGCCAGCGGAAATCGCCGAGGAGACACACAAGGAGCGCCGGATGTTCCAGCTTCAGATGTGCGAGGTGATGGGCCTTTCCGTGCTGGAGAACGGAGCTGGGGAGGGCAGTAGGGCCTGGAGCAGCCGTGGGTGCTTTTATCCGGTGAAGCTGGGGGTTCTGAGGCTCTCTACGCTCCTGTGGTTCCCATGGTATCTGATCCCTTCACGCACAGTACGTCACTGCCTTGTCAGGACGGGAAGGATCAGTTAGGATGGGGAGTTGAGGTGCGCAGAGACTTGCCCGCAGTCTCAGTCAGGGAGTCTGTGGCAGGGCCAGGAATTGAACCCAGCCCTCCTAATCCCAGTCCACTGCCTTAACCACTGGGCCATCCTTCCTTAGCTCTAGCCAGGGCACTTTCTGGTGGAAGAACCCAGTGATCTGTAGAAAAAAATCAAAGCGGACGAAGGAGTAAATCGGCCGTCGGTTACCCTACCCAGCAGCCATCGTTGCTTGGATACTTCAGGGATGGGTGCTGGAGAAATATGCCAAGGGATCAACTCCTGCATGTCAGGGTGTGTGGGGCAAGGAGGGCTTAGGGCCATGTCTCTCTTAGAACCTGGATATGCTCCTTGTCTGCATTCCTCTGCAACAGCCGCTCCACCCCCCTGCGCCCTGCTAGCCCGCACCTCTCAACCTGCCTCCTGTCTGCCAGCCTTGCTAGGCCTTGTGCCTGCCCTGCCTTGCCTGTATCCAGGCCACTGGCTAAAATTCGTGTCCCTCCCCTGGTTCCCAGCCATGGGGACCTGGTAGCAGGGAGTGCTAGGAAAACAGGCCGAGGGCATGAATGGGCAGGTTCCCATCTCTTCCCTCCTCCCAACCATCATCCCTGCTGCTGGGGGCTCCTTCTCCCCCACCTCCACCCCCTTGGCCTAAGTGCTGGAGCGTCCCATCCTGACCATGGGTTAGGGAGCCTCACGGCTTCCTGTCTGAGTATGGAGCCCCTTGAGCCCAGTCCCCTGGGCCCTGGCAAGGTGAGTACAGCCCAGCTGTGGGCAATATCCCAATCTCTCTGACACTCAAAACTCCCTCCTGCTGCTTGGGGCGCCCCTCCACCCCCAGTGGTCTCCAGCCAGCGCTAGGAATCTGCCTTGACCTGACTCTCTAACACCTTTAGATCTGGCGTGTGTCTCGAAGCTTAGTGCCAGCCCCATTTCGCTCTGGGTGCGGAGGGCCACCTCTGCTTGAGTTGCTACCATGGTCTTTCCCTTGCAAAGCCCATGGCAAGCTGAGTTGCTTCCCGTTCACTTTGTCCCACAGCAGGGACTGTTTGCAAGAAAGAAAAAAAAAATCTCATTGGGGCCAGACCCTCCCCAGAACTCAGGGCCAGGCGTTTGACTGGGGATCTTTGCGCTTCTCTCTGGGAAGATGTCCCGCGCACCAATAGCCACACGGCTGTGTCCCAGCTGTTCCTACGACTGCGCACGGTATCTGCAAAGCTGGAGTTAGTGCTGCTAACAACTAGCTCGGCATCTCAGGAGCTGCTTGCACGGCCCGGGGCCAAGTTTGTGCTCAAGCTTGTGAAGCCCGCACAGATGCAATTGTGTGCTATTTTTGGGGGGCATGTGTGGATCTGTCGTTTTGCAGGTCCTGGCCAGTCTGTGAGGAAAAGCCAGAAATCGGGTGAGAGCAAGAGATTCCTGCTCCAGGGGGGTGGAAGAGCCAGGGGAAATCCCAGGAGTGATTTACCAAGAGGGGAGGATTTCAGCTTTGTGCAATAACACTTTGCATGTCTGCATTGCTGTTCATTGGCGTTGGAAGCAAATGTTAGTGAGTCAAGCCTCAAACCGGCCCTGCCAGCTTGGCGATCATGATTATCCCAGTCTAACAGGTGAGCAAACCAGGTTACGCAGCCGGTAAGCGGTGGAACCCAGGATTCCTGCTGCCTACTCCCCTGCTTTAACTACTAGTCAGTATTGCCCTCCTGGAAACAAGAAAGGAACCCAGGAGTCCTGACTTCCTAATCCCTGCTCCAACCACTAGAGCCACACCCCTCCTAGATCTGGGAACAGCACACAGGAGTCCCTATCCACGAGACAACATCCTCACAGAGGACAGGTCTGAAGAAAAGTGCACCTTGGGGAATGGTCCATGGTTAGTGTTTGCACCTGGAGCGGGTCTCCAACGAGCTTCAGCTGTCATAGCCAGAACTGAGTGTCAGGCTGTGGCTGTGGAGTGGGCCGCCCATGTGGCCAAATCCTGGTAGGGCTGGAGAGTGGAGGGGAGGATCTTGCGAGCTGCTGATGGGGCTGAGGGGAAAGTGAAAGAGCCATGGAGCGGTGGCAGCTTGCATTCCTTGTTGTGGTTTTGGGCTACGTGGAGGGCTGGAGCTCTGGGGGGTGAGCCAGGGACTGAGTCATCCCTTTGAATAGCTTCACTGTTAAATAAATAACAGCACATGGAAACACTCAGTGTTCGCAGTGCAGCCGCAGGGAGGGGCTTTGTTCCAGGGGCTGCAGTGGAAAAAGAGAGAAGATGCATGCACGGGATCTCACAGCCAACCCCCCCACGCCCCGCCCGGTGCGGTGCTCCCCCGTGTACCTGCTGTGCTACATTAGGGCTATTTGATTTCACCCTCGGCTCAGTGCTCAGTTCTATCCCTGGGCGGGTTTAGGACCTGTTCCCCTCAGTCTATCTCATACCCTTGGGAGTACCAAAACCAAGGAATCTTCGCTCCTGGTTAGCTGTACAGGGTCTGACACGTAGCCGGGCAGTCCCCATTCCAGTATGAACCTGTATGTGGCTTTTCTGGCCAGTATTTTATAAGTCCTCCGTGGCCAAATGTTCCGGTGTTGGCACCTAGTTTGCTTGGGGGATGGATTGAGAGCGTGGGGCCAGGATCCATGGAACCCGCGCCCCCCCCCCGCCCCAGCAGCATGCATTGCAAGTGCTGGCAGTTCCGAGTCATGCGCCTCCAGCCACGGCCTGTTCTTCCTTTGGGAGGTGTCCCGGTCTGGGGACAAGGAGGGGAAAATGGCACATGCCCATGACTGCATTCCCCCCCCCCCCGCACCGTCTTTGGGGTCTGTCTGGGGAGTGATCAGCTCCAGACCACCTGGTGATCGCTGACCCGCTGTTTGTGACCAGGACATGCTCTGACAGCAGCTGCTGCATCCCCAGGCTCCTGCTTTCATCAAAGAATTCATTTAACCTCACAAGGCAGGGAAGTATAATTTCTGCTTTGTGGAGGGGGAAACTGAGGCACAGAGAGGTGAAGTGATTTGCCCAAGGTCTCCCAGGGAGTTGGTGGCAGAGCCAAGAATAGACACTCCCCCTCCCCCTAGGAGTCCTGCCTCCTCTTGCTCTAATCACTAGACACACCACTCCCTTCTCAGAGCCAGAAAGAGAATCCAGGAGTCCCAATCTTCTCCTCTGACCACTCGACAGCAGTACTGCCCATTAAAGCTATATTCCCTCTTTATCTCTCGTTCACCCCCACCCTACCTCGAACAAAGGCTCTCTATAGCTCTGCTTTGGCCCATTACACCAATCCTCCATGCCCCCTTTTCTGGGCTCACGACACATTTCTCCAGCTGTGCTCCTGGCAAGGACGGAGAAATAAAAATCTCCCTGTCCTTACCCGACTGTAACGCTCTACTCTGCCGCCGTCTTGGAGACGGTATAAAAAGAGAATCCAGCTCATCACACAACCCTTTCCCCCTGGCCTCCTCATGCTCCTTGCCTCCAAAATACATGTACACAGGAGCTTCCTAATGAGAGCACCTTAACCCCTTCGCTGCTGCCTCGTCTTCCAGGGGCATGAACCGAACCAAGCCCAACGCCGGCTTTGCCGTTGCAACACTGTGCTACTTAGAAAAAGGCCAATGAACCCAAGAGCTCTGCTGGATTCTAAAAAGGATTGAACATTTATATGGACAATGAGACCACCCAGAGTGTGATGAGGATTTAAATCCTCATGCTTCAGGGCATAGACCAACTTCTAACTAATCAGGGTCAGGAAGAAACCCCCCTTGGGGGGCAGGTTATTCATGATCTACAGGGTTTCTTGCTCCTCCTTCTGATGCTGCTGGTCACTGCTGGAGACAGGATATTGGGTTAAATGGACCCCAGTTTGATCCACTGTGGCCATTTCTATGAGAAAATAAAATTGGAGTGGAAGAAATTCATCATCAGCCCAATGCTGAGAGCCACTGACAGCTGCGTTAGCTGAAAATGGGATTGTGCCCTTTTTACATGAAGAAGACCTAAAAGTTCTTGGGTTTTTTTCCTCTCTCTCTCTCTCTCTCTCTCTCTGGGTGACTGAAGAACTATTAGGTTAATGCCACTGTAGCCACTATACAAGTAAAACCTGATTAATTGAAAGGAGGAATAATATTTTTATGTGGACTGTTTGTTTTAAAATTGTATTGTTTTTGGTTAACATAGTATTTAACTCAAAACTTAACAAATACTTGCGAGAAAAACGCTCTTTGTTAAAATCCCACAGACCCAATCCTTGACCTTTGGGTGCTGAGAGCGCTCCCAATCTGCATCTTTGGGTTTTCCAAGGGAAGGAAAGCCCAACAGCCTTCAGAGACCTAGGTTATCGCTTGACCTGCTAAAATTGAGTTACATGTGTCAATGCTGCACAAGGAAAAGTCATGGTGTTTAGGCTGGGCTTCTCGAGCCCGTGTTCGTGAAACACAACTGCTTTTTGTAGCTGAGACCAAGCTTTAGAGGCAGCTCTGGTGGATCTTGAACTGATGTGCAAAATGACTGGGGATCGCTTTCGCTGTGCGTGACACCACTCATCTGGCTGGGCAAAGCCTAGTTTAACTGGCCACTTTTTCACCTGGCTCTCAGAGGGTTTCAGCTGGAGATGGGACCCAGTGGCGTAGCTAGGGGGGAGCGGGGCAGCGGCCGCTCCCCCACTGAGCACAAGTGGCGCCTTGTGAATGTCTTGGCCCCTCTTAAATTTTCCCCTGTTGAGGGAACAAGGGGCGCGAGCCCCAAAAAAGGCGCCACCCGCTGCAGCACTTTTACTCCCCCGGTGGCGGGACCTTCAGTGCGGCTGCAGACACCCGGTGCGAGTGAGGGCCGGCCGCCGGTGCGCCGCCGGGGGAGTAAAAGTGCCGCAGCGGGTGGCACCTCTTCTTTGGATCGCTCCCCCTGTTCCCTCCACCTGGCTACGCAGCTGATGGGACCTGAACCAAAACGCTCTGGACTCGGGGGTAAGTTCACACCCAGATCTGGATCTGAACTTTGCTGTTCAGGCTCATCTAGAGGTGTCACCGTTTCCAGACCTGAATCGGACCACGAAAGACCTGGCCGTATGGCAAAAAGAAGACTCGGACTTCTGAAAAATCTGGCGTCTTCCAGTTCTCCCCTCTGAGCTAGTCCAACGTTTGAGGAGTCCCTCATCGACATCCTAACTCGGTATCTCTTCTCCCTCTCTAGTACTTGCTGAAAGCTAACGAGAGCCAGACGAAGCAAGGTCCAGACTTCCTGCAGAGCCTGATCAAGTTTTTCCATGCGCAACATAAGTAGGTACCACCCCACTCGGCACGTCCTGTGAGATGGCGATGTCACTTCCTGGAGCAGAACTCTAGACTTGCCAGTTTGCCCTCATTTGCTGTAACTCCCAGTAGCTAGAGAGAAACGAATCCCCATGGAGTTTAATTTAAGCACATGCTTTTGCTGAATATGGGAGACATTAAGCATGTGCTCAAGGGCCACAGAAAAGGGTATTTTACTGGTGCTGTGTCCAGTGACTGGTTACTTTGTTTAGTGTCACTAGTCCATTACTAAAGCAATCCCTCTCTGCAGAGCGAAATTACCCTAATAGCACTTAGTTGCATTAATGTGTAATATTTTAATATTAATTGCATCAATTCCAAACTCATTTTTGTATTGCATTAATGATACTTTGAAGAGCACTTTTCATCTGAGGATCTCAGTGTGATCCTGCATTTTACAGATAGGGAAACTGAGGCATGGTGAGGGGACATGCCCAAGGCCACACAGTAGTTCAGTGGCAGAGCTGGGAGTAGAATCTATGGCAGCTGACCTCTCGACCCTGTCCCTGTCTCTAGTGGAGGCTGCTTCAGAACAATATAGGAGATGAGGCTGTCACATAAAACTTGCATCCAGTCCTGGATTTCCAACATCCCCAAATGTGGAGGTGTTCAGATCTGGGACTCTGGTTTTAGAACAAATCTGTGCCATATTCTTGAGTCACTCCGGAAGAGGCTAGAAGAACTGAGTGGAGTTTGAGCTTTTATGTCTTGCAGTGGGATGAAGCCCTGAATGATGAGAGGTGAGAGGCTCGGCCTCAGCCCACCATCCGGCTGATTGTAATGAGAAGGGAGTGATCTGGTGATCCATTTCAGGGACGGGAAGGAGTCTTCCCTGCCCTCTCTGCCCCTGCGAAGCACATTGGGCGCATCACAAGCTTATACTCCAGCTGCTGTAAGCTGAATGTCTATAGGCACAATGTGAATGGGACCATTGGGTTTGGAGGTGGTCTGTAGATTCTGAACCCCCTCTCCTTCAGGCCATCAGGCAGAGTGACTGGCTCACTGGGAGCCTTAGCATGACCTTGATTGACTGTGTTCTTGGTGAGCGCTGGCTGAGAGGGCCAGCGTGGTAGGAACTCCCGAGTGCTGACAGCAGGTTTCTCGTAGCTGGCTGTGAAGGACCTGGCCATGGCTGATGAATGGTGTTGCGATGCCGTTGGCTGACATTTTTCTCTTGCTCAGTTTCTTCCAAGATGGCTGGAAGGCTGCTCAGAATCTCTACCCTTTCATTGAGAAGCTCGCCGCATCTTTACATGCAGTAAGTATTCTCAGCCACGGGTTGCAGATGCTCCGCACATCTTTGGATCAGGCCCTTTACTTTGTTCCCTACAATGGACTCCAAAGGATCTATGAACTTTCAAGAGAAAACACACTGGAGTCCAGCTACCATTCCAGAAAGGTGCTGCGGGTGGTCCTATGAATCAGAGCAGCGAGCCTTGCTAAAGTACTAGGAAAACTGGATGAAGTGATAACTAGAACCCATTGCTAATAGGGGCCCTAGGGGGCTAGTGCTGTATGTGCACAGTGCTTGCTGGAGCGATGTAGGGGGAATTTTAAATCATCCAAATAGATATACCATAGCATAAACCAGCATAACTTCTGTAACAAAATCAGACCTCTCCAATCTACTATACATCTGTGAGCGTGTCTGTGAACGAGTGGATACATGAGAACCAACTCTGCCACTGTCCCCGTTTAGGAGATCCGATACCAGGCTAGATGGGCCCTGTTCTGATCCAGCCTGGCAGTTCCTATGTTCTTGCCCTACTTCAGAGAGATGACCACCCGCCTCCCTGCACTCTGCTCCCCATGTTGTTGAGGATGGAGAGGCTCAGGATGGCAGTAACATGGATGATCATATTAAAGTCTTCTGCTGCTTTTCTTTTCAGCTGCACCAGGCCCAGGAGGAGGAGGTGAAGGAGCTCACTCAGATCCGTGACTCCCTCCGAGGCATCCTGCAGCTGGAGAACAAAGAGGTGAGGCTCTTGGCCTATTCCCCCACTCTGCTAGGCAACGAAGGGGCCTAGCACAGTGAGGGAATAGCCAACAGAGTTGGATCTAGGCCTACTGATGAGCGTCCTACCTTGGATTTTCTACAGAGAGACACAGCCCTGTTACCCATTGACTTTCCCCAGGGTAGCCAGGAGCAGCCAGAGTGGAGGCAGGTGGGTAGACAGAATGGGAACCAATCCAAAGCCGACTGAAATCAATGGAAGGGCTCCTCTGGCCTTCAGTGGGCCTTCCTGGGCATCAGAGACCGAGCTGAGAGCCCAGCCTTGAGAGCGTGATGATGCCATGTGGGAGGAGAGGATCCATGATTGGGAGCTGGTATGCGTCGCTAGCCACCTGGGTGGTGTCACAGTGGTGGTAGGAAAGGGTCAGGAACTGACCGGCAAGCAGTCAGAGGCTGGGTGAGGCTGGCCAGAAGGGTAAGACAAGTGTCCCAGAGGTTCCGAAGGGAAGAAAGTTGATGGGAAGGGAGAAGTTCGCTATCAAGGAGAAGGCCCCGGGAAGTCAGGATGGTGGAGCTCTAAGTGATTCTCCAAGTGGCCATAATAAAGTTGGAGGGCGTTTGGAGGTGCTGCGGACAACATTAAGAGGAAGGTCTGGGGCGTTCCTGCGGGATTGGGCCAGCAGGGATCAGGCCCTAGCAGGGCAAGAGGGCTGTGATGCGGCAAAGAAACAGACCCTGAGGCCTATGCTCTGAATATATATATATTTATATTTTTGTTCTGTCCTTGGTGAGTTCAGGAAAACCTTCTCAGGAAGAACTCTGGCAGCGGCTACAGCATCCACCAGCACCAAGGGAACAAGCAGTACGGGACGGAGAAGTCGGGCTTTCTGTGCAAGAAAAGCGATGGGTGCGTACGAACTGGCTCCTGCTTGCTCCCTTTTCTTCACGTGCTCATTAAGAGCTGATGTTCTCTGGGAAGGCCGGTGGCCGTGGGACGAGGCTGTTGAAGGATCAAGTGATGCAGGAATTATTTGGGGAGATTCTTTGGGCGTGGGCCATGCAGGTGTTCAGACCAGATGATCCAAATGGTCCCTTCTGGCCTTAAAGCTTTGAATCCTCGAAAGCCCTTGTGTCTCTGCCCAGTCCACGTGCTTGCACGCAGGGGATGTCCGCACAGCAGCTGCTAGGTGGACTTCCCAGCTCAGGTCGATGTAAATGCACTAGCTCCGCTCGAGCAGCGTGGCTGCGTGGCTTGGGCTAGCTACCCAAGCACCGTCCCGCCCGACCCCTTGGGTATGGAGTCAGGCAGCTAGCACAAGCTGCCAGTCGTCACGGCCACGCTGCTATTGTTAGTCACTTGCTGGAGCAGAGCTAGTGAGTAGCACCCATTAGAAATTACGCTTGCCAGCTGCTGTGTGGACCTACCTGCATCTGGGATCCTTTGGGGTGGAAAGGAAAAAAAAATGGAACGAGGGGCTGGATGGTTGGTGGGTTGATAAGATATGGAGCCTGGGACAGGACTCTGGTTTGGAAGTAGTCTAGCTCAGGAGTGACCCTCCTCCGTAGCTGATGTTTATTAGGAGTCAGGTTTGAAATGATTTGGTGGCGTCAGTCCATTTCCTAGTGGACAGGTGTCCACATCCCATGCAAGTCCTGTCCAAGCCTGGCACTAACTGCTACCCACATTGGGAACCTCAGCAGAGAGGCCAGCGCCTGATGGAGATGAACTGTCCCAAGATGTGGCCCTTTCAGCACAGGACTGGTAAGGAAGCCTATGCTGCAAGCATCTCTCCTGGACTTCAGTCTCCAGGGTTACCAGCCTGTCACCAAATTCCCTTTGAAAAGGAAGAAGGTCCATGCTACGGGCATAGCAAGCCGCTGCCTAATGGGAGCAGCACTCTGCCAAGGAGAAGGAAGAGTTTCACCTGTGTACAATGGGCCAACCGTTGGGGTAGGAAATGCCTCGGGCACTGAGGGAAGAAGGCTCTTAGAGGCGTGCGTCGGGTTTAAGGGAAGGGATGAGGCACTTGGTGCGAACAGAGAAAGCGGACTGAGAAGACTGGGCAGTCGGAGGGTTTGAGCAGGGCTCCGAGGGGTATTTCTACATCGGGTGAGTTAAAGGAAGTGCTACGTTAACCCAGGAAGCGATACTCCCCACTAAAGCCCATCAGCGAGATGAGAGGCCATGGGGGTCACCAGGGCTGTGGGAGAAGCTGAGTATCGGGTACAAAATGGACCCTCACTCCCTTCTCTCTGCCTGTCCTAGAATCCGGAAAGTGTGGCAGAAGAGGAAGTGTGGGGTGAAGTATGGCTGCCTCACCATCTCGCACAGCATGGTAAGGCCCAGCGCCGGGCGCTGGCGGATGGGTGGTGCTTGGGTTCAGCCTACCATGGAACCGTCCTAACAAGGGATTGTTTATGGCTATGGAGGCTGTAGATTAAATCCATTCAAGCCTGTGTGGTGAACTGCACCTCCTATGAATGGGTATGCGAACAGGCATCCAAATCGCAGCCCGAGAGCATGTGCCTACTGATGGTAACCTTTTAGCTTACACTTAAAGGATCAGTCTGTATCTCTTCATCCCCTGCTCCTTATGTGTGTCTCCGTGGGAAGGGGAGCTGCCAGTTTATCTCAAAATGGCATACAGAGCTGTGCAAAGGTTGGCTGGTTTGTTTCCTAGGGGTCCATCTGGCCCCTGAATCTGTGCCTCCTCCACATGCAAGTCCATAACTCTGCCAAGGTTTGCTTAGAACTCTGGTGCATTAAACTTCTGGTAAACTCCACCCAGCCTTGGGATTTGTAAAGCAACCCCAAACTGGGTGCATTATAACAACTTCATCTGACATAAACAAATGAGACAGAGAGAGAGAGAGAACATGTTGGAGAAGGTTTTCTATCACCTTTTCAGGTAGGGAGCATAAGTGATGCCTTGAGGCTCCAGACTAGACAATCGGTAGAAACTTCAGGTAGAAAGAATGGCTGCTCTCTAGAGGTAGAGGGAGTAAAATGCAACTTAAAAACTGCTCTGGCTCAGATTCTTCTGCAAAAGAAGATTCTGCAAGATTCCAAGGGGGCCTGGCCATTTCGGTAGATAACAAGAATATCCAGAGTTAGCATAGTTAATGCTGGCCCAAACGCTGGAAAACCTTGAGGTCTTTTGTAATGCCTTTTCATCAGTAGATGAGCTGCTTATCCCTGTTCTACATGTGGGGGAAACTGAGGAACAGAGAGGGGGCAGTGACTTCTCCAACATCAGCCAGCAGGTGAGTGGCAGAGCTAGGAATAGAAGCTGGGTGTCCTGAGTCCCAGTCCAGTGTGATACCACTAGGCTGTACTGCCCCTTCAGTCTTGGACTATTAGAGGTTAGGGAGAAGATGATCCCACATCTCTCTAATGTCAGGTTCTTGCATCTGGTGCCGATCACTGCTGGAGACTAGATGAAGCCTGGGTCTGATTCTGTCTGACAATGGCTGTGTTCCTAAACAGCGACTGGCACCCCAGTCCTTCTGGCTCGCTTCACTTCCCATTTCACCTGCCCGCTCTCCTCCTCTCCCAGATCAATCGGCCTCCCGTGAAGCTGAACCTGCTGACCTGCCAAGTGAGACCTCACCCGGAGGAAAAGAAGTGCTTTGACCTTGTGACGCGTGAGTAGGGAAAAATGAGATAGCCCCGGGCCCAGATTTGGAAAGGTATTTAGTAGGGCTGTCAAGTGATTAAAAAGATTAATCTCGCCATTAAACAATAATAGAATACCATTTATTTAAATATTTTTGGATGTTTTTCTACATTTTCAAATATGTTGATTTCAATTACAACACAAAATACAAAGTGTGCAGGGCTCACTTTATACTTCTGATTACAAATATTTGCACTGTAAAAAAAAATAGTATTTTTCAATTCACTTACTTACAAGTACTGTAGTGCAATCTCTTTATCATGAAAGTTGAACTTACAAATGTAGAATTATGTACAAAAAATAACTGCATTCAAAACCAAAACAATGTAAAATGTTAAAGCCTACAAGTCCATTCAGTCCTACTTCTTGTACAGCCAATCACTCAGACAAACAAGTTTTGTTTACATTTGCAGGAGATAATGCTGCCCGTTTCTTGTTCTCAATGTCACCTGAAAGTGAAAACAATTGTAGTGGGTATCGCAAGATATTTACATGGCAGATGAGCTAAAGCTTGATATGTCCTTTCATGCTTCAACCACCATTCCAGGGGACATGCGTCCATGCTGATGACAGTTTCTGCTCAATAACAATCCAAAGCAGTGTGGACCGACACATGTTCATTTTCATTCTCTGGGTCAGATGCCACCAGTAGAAGGTTGATTTTCTTTTTTTGGTGGTTCGGGTTCTGTAGTTTCTGCATCAGAGCGTTGCTCTTTTAAGACTTCTGAAAGCATGCCTCACACCTCGTCCCTCTCAGATTTTGGAAGGCACTTCAGATTCTTAAACCTTGGGTTGAGTGTTGTAGCTATCTTTAGAAATCTCACATTGGTATCGCCTTTGCGTTTTGTGATAGTGTTCTTAAAATGAACAACATGGGCTGAGTCGTCATCCAAGACTGCTAGAACATGAAATATATGGCAGAATGTGGGTAAAACAGAGTTGGAGACGTACAATTCTCCGCTGAGGAGTTCAGTCACAAATTTAATTAACGCATCATTTTTTTAATGAGTATCCTCAGCATGGAAGCATGTCCTCTGGAATGGTGGCCGAAGCATGAAGGGGCATACGATTGTTTAGCATACCTGGCACGTAAATACCTTGCAATGCCGGTTACAAAAGTCCCATGCAAACGCCTGTTCTCACTTTCTGGTGACATTGTAAATAAGAAGTGGGCAGCATTATCTTCCGTAAATGTACACAAACTTGTTTGTCTTCGCGATTGGCTGAACAAGAAGTAGGACTGGGTGGACTTGTAGGCTCTAAAGTTTTGCATTGTTTTGTTTTTTGTGCAGTTATGTAACAAAAACAAATCTACATCTGTAAGTTGCACTTTCAGGATTAAGAGAGTGCACTACAGTACTTGTGTGAGGTGAATGGAAATACTATTTTTTATCATTTTTACAGTGCAAATATTTGTAATAAAACCCAATATGAAGTGAGCAGTGTACACTTTGCATTCCATGTTGTAATAGAAATCAATATATTTGAAAATGTAGAAAAACATCCAAAATATTTAATAAATTTTAATTGGTATTCTATTATTTAACAGTGCAATTAAAACTGTGATTGACTTTTTTTGAGTTAGCTGCGATTAATTGACATCTCTAGGCATTGCTGCGCTCAAAATCCTAAATGATTTAGAAGCCTAAACTCCTTTTCAAAAGGGATTTAGGCACCAAAATCCCAAGTGCCTAAACCCCTTTTGAAAATGCGCTTAGGCTCCTAAGTCAGTTAGGCCCCAAGGTGCTGAGCGCAGCAATGCCTAGGGATGTCAATTAATCGCAGTTAATTCAAAAAGTTAATCACAGTTTTAATCGTGCTGTTAAACAATAGAATACCAATTGAAATTTTACAAATGTGGGCCCCAGTATCTCATGCTCTTGAGGTCCAGGATAAGACATTGCATCTGCTCTACAATTCTGAGCTCTCCCCATTTGTGGCTCTTAAAATGGATTTACAAGGCATCTCTCTGGCTAGGAATAAAGCTCTCTTCCTCTCCGCCCCCGCCCAGAGCAGCACCTGGGCAGCCCCTCAGAGTTATCCTTTAAAGAGAGCAGGGAAGGTGTATTTTTAACTGGGGTGCAAACTGAGAGATGGCCATCGTGGGCTAGAGGCAGGACTAGCATAACTGCGTTCTGTGCAAAGTTCTCCCAGCTCTGAAATGGCCTTTGTTCCTCACCGACATCCTAGCTATCCTGATTCTACCCCTCCACAGCTCTACCAATGCATCTCCGCTCTCCTGCGCTACAGACACCCTTCTCCCCACCCCCTGCCCCTTTTTTCCAATTCCAGGCCTCCCCCAGGTGGAAGGTACCAATTATATGATCCTTACGTGATGAGGGTAAATCTCACCTCACTCCACAGGGGACATCTACCAAACTCATGATACTTGTGGCCCAAGGTTGGACTTGAACCAGGTCTCCAGAAGTACAGGTCAAGAGCTTTATTTCACTATGCTGCATAGATCATCCTGCTAAAATTATCCAGCCTCTTGAAGCAGCTGGCTTTGTGCTTCTGACTTGGCCGGGGATCATGGGCTTTCCCAGATACTGAAAGCATCCCTTTCACCTGTCCCCTCTCCCTTTCCCTCTCCCTGCAGATAACAGGACATACCACTTCCAGGCTGAGGATGAACAGGAGTGTGTTGTGTAAGTGACAGCAACCATCCTCTCTGCCCATCCTCCCCTTTCCCTGCGTGGGAATGGCTACTGGTCTTGCAGGGCTTCTGTCCGCGGAGCAGGGGGGCACAGATGTGCGAGCCACAGGGCTGGTTCCAGGCACCAGCTTTCCAAGCAGGTGCTTGGGGCGGCGCTGAGAATGGGGCGGCAGTCCGTGTCCCACGACAGCAATTCTGTAGCAGCTCTGCCGCTCTTCCGGGCGTGGTGGCAATTCGGCGGTGACTGCTCGGGGTGGCAAAATCGGTAGATTTCAGAGTAACAGCCGTGTTAGTCTGTATTCGCAAAAAGAAAAGGAGGACTTGTGGCACCTTAGAGACTAACCAATTTATTTGAGCATGAGCTTCCGTGAGCTACAGCTCACTTCATCGGATGCATACCGTGGAAACTGCAGCAGACTTTATATACACACAGAGATCATGAAACAATACCTCCTCCCACCCCACTGTCCTGCTGGTAATAGCTTATCTAAAATGATCATCAAGTTGGGCCATTTCCAGCACAAATCCAGGTTTTCTCACCCTCCACCCCCCCACACACAAACTCACTCTCCTGCTCATCCAAAGTGACAACTCTCTACACAATGTGCATGATAATCAAGGTGGGCCATTTCCTGCACAAATCCAGGTTCTCTCACCCCCCTCCAAAAAAATACACACACACAAACTCACTATCCTGCTGGTAATAGCTCATCCAAAGTGACCACTCTCCCTACAATGTGCATGATAATCAAGGTGGGCCATTTCCAGCACAAATCCAGGTTTTCTCACCCCCCCACCCCCATACACACACAAACTCACTCTCCTGCTGGTAATAGCTCATGAGCCAGAATGTTGCACTGAGTCCGGGGGCCCCTTTCACCACTGCAGAATACAGGGCACTCGGTTCCCGTGGCAGGATGATCTGCTTTGTAGGTTTGCATCCTGTGCCTGCTGTCTAGCTCCTAGGACCCACAGAGGTTGTGAGCACCACATGTGAAGACGCTGTGCTTGGCCCCTGCAGGGTGGGAGCACCTTGCATCATCATGCTGCAGTATAGAGGCAGTGGGGTCTAGTGGGTAGAGCACTGGACTGGGAGTCAGGAGACCGGGGTTCTGTTCCTGGCCCTACCACTGGGTGACCTTGGGCAAGTTACTTCCCTGCTCTGTGCCTCATTTCCCCCCCTTTATGAAAGGCAGATAATGATACTGTCCTGCTTCACAAGGCGCTTTGAGATCTGCTGAGGAACTGTGCTATATACGAGCTCAGAATGGTTGTTTATTATTATGGTGTCCTCTGTGGTCAACATAGGAGCAGCAGCGAAGGCTGCAAACGGTGTCATCCAGCCATCCCCAGCCATGACCTGGGCTTTGTGCAGAGGCAGGACCCTGTTACCCACAGCACTGTTTCTCTAGCCTAGAAAATGTTTTTGTTTCTCTTCCTCTCATGATCCCTCCCTCGGTTTCCATTCTCCTGGTCCCTCGCTGCCTGGGTCCCTGTCTGAAGTCTCCCCTCTCCCCCTCCCTGTCCAGCTGGGTGTCTGTGCTCCAAAACAGCAAGGATGAAGCCCTCAGCAACGCCTTCAAGGGTGACCCAAGCGGCTGTGCAGCCTCGGCCAGGGGGGTGACGGACGCTGGCCTGCACGAGCTCACCAAGCTGGTCATTGGCGAGGTGAACGGCATGCCAGGCAACAAGCAGTGCTGTGACTGCGGGGCCCCAGGTAGGTCAGTGATGGGGGACTCCGATGCTGTGAAGCCCTGTTGCAAGGGGCAATCTCAGCACATGCATGGGCCTGGCGCCCTTAGCCTGGTACTGGTCACGTCACTAGCATTGTTAGCTTTGCCTTGCCTTGTGGCTTTAGCCTGTTGCCATTAGCCAGTAGCCATTAGACCAGGATGAGCACGCTGTCTCTGTGATCTAGTTGGACATGGCGTGAGCCTGTGAGCATCCACACCTGGCTGTTTTTGGAAGCTGGATGCCAGCCGGGAGGGGTGGCGATCCCGGGGCAAGGGCAGAGGTGAGGGACTTCTCCAGCGAGCTCTCCCCTGACACCATGCGGAGATCTGGGTAAAAAGGACTAAGCGACTGACCTGCCACGGGCCAGGAGGTGCCAGAGTGCAGGGGTCAGGTGGGGACGTGGGGAAGGATGTGCCACCGGGGGGCTGTCACAGCTCGCTCACTGGTGCTGTACCGCTTCCTTGCAGATCCCACGTGGCTTTCCATCAACCTGGGCATCCTGACGTGTATTGAGTGCTCGGGCATTCACCGGGAGCTGGGGGTGCACTACTCCCGCATACAGTCCCTCACCCTCGACGTTCTCAGCACCTCTGAACTGCTGGTAAGTGGCTCCCGTGCGTAGGGGCCTCCATCTCCTTGCTCCCCTTTTCTGCTTCCCCTTAGCACTCTGCCCACTTCCATCAGAGCCCCAGATTCACGGGCATGGCCATGAAAGCTAAGCCTAGTGCAGCCCAGATCGAGAGCCGGCTTGTTTTGTGACACTCCGACTAGATTTCAAAGGTTCCCATCATTCTAGACGGCGGAGATCTTGCAAGGTCCACTCACAAATTCTCTGTGCTCCTGAATCCAGCCCTGAAATGCAGCTTGGCCTCAGCCCATCTCTAGGGAAGGATGGATGTCTCCGCTATAGTTTTTCTTTAGCTTCTTTCTCTTGGCGTGTCTTCTGTCTCCGGGGTGTGAAGCAAACCAACTAGCTGGCAGGCAAGTCAAGCCAGGGGGCTCCCAGGCACAGAAACACCTGTGCTTATGGGGCTGGTGTTCCCCCTCTCGTTCGTAGCTGGCGGTCAGTATTGGAAATGCCCGGTTTAACGAAATCATGGAGGCCACGCTGCCGGCGCAGGGGAATCTGAAGCCTTCGTCAAGCAGCGATATGTGAGTAAGACACGGGGGAGCGAGCTCGTGACGGGGTGTGTGTCAGGCCCAGACCTGCTCCCTCTCATGGGCTCACTTGGGAGGAGGGTAGAGGTGGTACCTTCCTCTAGTTGGGGCCATCAGCAAATAGCTTCCTCCAAACCCGACCAGCTGTCTCATCCCTGTCCGGAGGTGTATTTCCTACTCTTGCTTTGCCCCTGTCCTGGCTTGAATCCAAAGCTCATCAGCCTCCTGTCCAAAATCCACTAGCCCAAGGAGTCAGTCGAGAGGTGAGGGGGTCTCTCTCTCTTGCTGCAGGGCCAGCCACGCCTTTCCTTTCTGGTCGGGGGAGAGAGGGCTGTTTGGTCCGACGTGCCTGAGTTAGTCTCAGCTCAGGAAGCTGCAGCAAGGGTGGGTTGGTGTGACCTCGCTGACCTAGCTCCCTCCCTCCCGCCCGCAGGAGCGCCAGGAAAGAATATATCATGGCCAAATACATGGAGCGCAAGTATGTCCAGAAAGCCGGCAGGGATGAGCCACACCGGCTCTGGGAAGCCATTCGGAACCGGGATCTCTTTGCCTTGTTACAAGCCTTTGCGGAGGGGCATGATCTAGCAAAACCCCTGGCTAGCCCTGACAGCCAGGTGAGCATTGCTTGCGTGTCTGTATCCAGCTCTTGTCTTCTACTTGGATTATAAGCTGTCTGGGGCACAAGCCATCGGTGACCATGTTTGTTCTGCGTTTGCCCAGCGCCTGGCAGGTTGGGGGCCTGGTCCATGCCTTGGGCTCCTACTGCTATGGTAATACAAACCATAAATGCTGGCCATCCTGCTAGGTGTCACTTGCACTGAATCATAGAATCATAGAATATAAGTATAAGTACCTCCTGTGTATTGCAGGCCATTAAATATCTCCCAGACGCCCGTGTTAAGCCAAAAGCATTTCAGTGCACAGGAAACTAAACTGGTGCATGCCACAGGCAGAGAACAGGAGAGTCCAAGGTGTCACCAGTACCCAAGGCCCCTGCAATGACAGGGAACTGGTCAGGTTAAGATGTGCCCAGGTGATCTCTATTGCATGCTGCAGTCTTTCCTGCAGTCTTTCCTGACAGCCTTTCCCCTTCCAAACACTCGGGACAGTAAGGCCCTTGAGGTGAAGCTTTGGAGCATGTGGGGAGGATTTGGGCCGCGTCATTCTGTAGCTTCAGGGAAGATGTGTCAAAAGTGGATTCAAAGCTTGTTCCTTCTCCTGCTCTGTTGAAATTCGCCTCTCTGGAAGAGCGTGGAGCCCTGCATCTCGCATGCCAGTGACATGTGGCCTCTCTTGTTTCACCTTTCAATGCCCCTGTACAAACAAGTTCTTCTAACTTCCGCCCAAGGATCCTCAAGTACTTCTTCTGCCATGTATTAGCCATTTCTGTTGGGGCCTGCTGTGTGCTTGGGGCTTTCCAAACGCATGCAGAGGGACAGGCTCTGCCCTGAGGGAGTCAGAGGCTGAGAATGGACAGACAGAAAGACAGGTTAGGGGACAGGAAACCACAGCTCTATTGTTGACTCTTATACAAGTCAATTAGGTTCACTATAAGCAACACCGAAGAAGTGGAACTGAAATGTGGACGGGATAGGGGCCTTGCAGATGAGCTGGGGATAGAGAATCACACCACAAACAGGGCTGATGGGAGTGAGAGTTTCTGCCTACGTAGCATCGTGAAGAAGTGACATGCTAATGCTGATGTTCTTGGTTTGATCGGAGCGTTCGAGCTAGTTGGAAAATGGGCTTTGGAAAAATTGTGACTAAATGGGGGCGGGGGGGGGGAATCATGTTTTCAAAATTTCCACTGAAAAGTTCAATTGTTTGGTGGAAAAAAAATTGAAAATTGAAATTTTGATTCAGAAATGCTGCCATAGTTCCTCGTGCTCCCATTCTCCTCCATGGGCTGGGCTCCCTGCTCGGACTACGTTCTCCCATGATGCATCATGGCCCCGTCTCACAGCGAGTGGAGGCAGTGCACCATGGCCGGGGACTCTGATGATGCATCATGGGATATATAGTTCAGCTGGGGAACCTGGCTGATAGAGGAGAATGATGACATAAAGACAGGTTTCAGAGTAGCAGCCGTGTTCGTCTGTATTCGCAAAAGGAAAAGGAGGACTTGTGGCACCTTTGAGACGAACAAATTTATTTGAGCATAAGCTTTCGTGAGCTACAGCTCCACTTCATTCAGTGGAAAATACAGTGGGGAGATTTATATGCATAGAGAACATGAAACAGTGGGTGTTACCATACAGACTGTAAGGAGAGTGATCACTTGAGGTGACATATTACCAGCAGGAGAGCGGGGTGTGTGTGTGTGTGTGTGGACCTTTTGTAGTGATAATCAAGGTGGGCCATTTCCAGCAGTTGACAAGAACGTCTGAGGAACGGTGGGGGCGTGGAATAAACATGAGGAAATAGTTTTACTTTGTGTAATGACCCATCCACTCCCAGTCTCTAGTCAAGCCTAAGTTAATTGTATCCAGTTTGCAAATTAATTCCAATTCAGCAGTCTCTCGTTGGAGTCTGTTTTTGAAGTTTTTTTGTTGAAGAATTGCCACTTTTAGGTCTGTAATCGAGTGACCAAAGAGATTGAAGTGTTCTCCAACTGGTTTTTGAATGTAATAACTCTTGACGTCTGATTTGTTTCCATTTATTCTTTTATGTAGAGACTGTCCAGTTTGACCAATGTACATGGCAGAGGGGCATTGCTGGCACATGATGGCATATATCACATTGGTGGATGTGCAGGTGAACGAGCCTCTGATAGTGTGGCTGATGTGATTAGGCCCTATGATGGTGTCCCCTGAATAGATATGTGGACAAATCTCCCCACTGTATTTTCCACTGAATGCATCTGATGAAGTGAGCTGTAGCTCACAAAAGCTTATGCTCAAATAAATTGGTTAGTCTCTAAGGTGCCACAAGTACTCCTTTTCTTTTGACATAAAGAAACTAGACTAAAATTCCCAAGAGGCACCACGGCAGGCTATCTGAACTGAAATATTCACTTTTTCAAGCATTTGGCTTGTTTGATGAAATATTGAAAATTTTCTCTTGAAAACACACGATTTTCATGGAAAATTTTCATTTTGTCAATATCCAATTTTTCATCGATAAATGGCTTACATGGAAAATTTTCCACCGGCCCTTCTGAGCAGCTCACAGCTGAGAAGGCCCAGACCAGCAATTGATGCTAAGCGACACCAGATATTCCTCCTCGTCTCTGGGGTTGAGGACACATCTTCTGCAGGCCTCTCAGGAGATGAGTGGCCATCAAACCTACAACCCCTGCTGGGATGCTGCCATGATCAGGGCTCAAAGAAGAATTAGATAAGTTCATGGAGGATAGAGCCATTGGTGGGCCTATCCTCCGCTGGTTAAGATGTTCAGGGATGCAACCCCTGCTCTGGGTGTCCCTAGCCTCTGACTGCTTGAAGCTGGCGGTGGATGATGGGATCGATCACCCAATGATTACCTGTTCTGTTCATTCCTTCTGGGGCACCTGGCACTGGCCACTGTCTGAAGACAAGATACTGGGCTAGATGGACCCAATATGGCCATTCTTATGTTCTCTTGTTAATTGAATGTGCCAAGCCAAGCTGTGCTGTAGTGGAGAGAGGGTTAATGTTGCTGCTTCTCCCCCCTGTGACAGGACCAGGGTGAGTTGGCTCTGCACCTGGCTGTGCGTTATGCAGACAAGTCCTCCCTCCCACTGGTGGACTTCATCATTCAGAATGGGTAAGCTTCACCCAGGGAGGATGGCAGGTGGGTGGCTGGTAGCCATAGCATCTTGGGCTGGGAACATGTTGGGTCTCATAAGCTAAGCAGGTGCAGGCCTGGTCAATGCTGGGAGGGGAGGCTCCACGAAAAATCCATGTAACTTAGAGCTCTCCTGCCTGGGAGACCCACTGTGCTGCTGGAGGTGAGTTCTCCACTTGGATCTGGCCTTCATCACCTGCACTAGAAGGAGGTTAATGAGAAAGCTGGTGGGATTTGCAGCTGACCCTAAAATGGGAGGAATTGCAAGGACAGAGGATTAATCCAAAGGTAACAAGGGAGGTTGGAAATTGGGGCAGAAAATAACCGATTTGATTCAGAACAAATTGTGGGGAGGGACTAATCCAAAAGGCAGATGATAATGCAGGGAAGGGGAGATGCCTGGAAACTGGGAGTGGTGGTAGAGAGACCTAGACTGGCTGCCATAAGGTCTATCCAATAAGCTGTCCACTGGCCCCTGTGATTATGGGCTGGCTCCATGGCTGTAATATACAATGGAGCACAGAGATAATTGCTCTCCATGCGACTCCAGTGAACCCCTGGCTGGAATACTGCATTCTGTGCCCCTCGTTCCCAGCATGAGAAGGATGAAGCTGAACTAGAAGGAATTTGGAGAACAACGATGTCAGGAACTGGGGAGGGAGAAGGACTCTCTTGACATAGTTCCCTAGTGTGGGAATAAAAATCTCTCTGCTGTTGGCTGGCAGCGTGCCTTTCATACAAGGATTGGAGTGTCACTGATTCTCCCATCACCCACAAGAGGCAGGTCAGGAGCCTTCTCCCCATTTTAGAGATGAGGAAACTGAGGCACAGAGTGGGGAAGTGACGTACCCAAGTTCAAGTGGGTCAGTGGCAGGGCTGGGAATAAAACCCACGTCTCCTGACTCCCAGACCCCAGTTAGGCCACGCTGTCTCTCTGGTGGGAGATGTTTGACCCACGCTTGCATCTTCAACTGCCTTTGCCTCGCTGTGCAGGGGCAACCTGGACAAGGCGACTCAGGACGGGAACACAGCTCTGCACTACAGCGCTCAGTACAACCAGCCCAACTGCCTCAAGCTGCTGCTGAAAGGGAAAGCGGCCACAAACACAGGTAGGGAGCGCAGCCAGAGGGAGGTTGGAGGGAAAGCCATACGATGCTCCTGCCCTATGGAATTGTGCTGGGTGGTGGGAGGAGGGAAATCAGAACAGATTTTAAAATGGGGCTATCTGGATTTCTCCCAAAATTTTAATGGAAGAACAAAGGGGCCAGCCAGTATCTGTCTCTCTCTGTCCTAGGTCCTTATCTAACTCCCATTACTGTTGTAGCTGGGTGTGTCACAATCTGTAATGTATTTGTTCTCATAACAACTCTGTGAGGTAGGGGAAGTCCTGGTATTCGAATTTACAAGTGGGGAAACTGAGGCACAGAGCAGGGAAATGACTTGCCCAAGGCCTGTAGCAGAGCAGGGAATAGAACCCAGGTCTCCCAAGTCCCAGGCTAGTGTCCTAATCACTAGATCATCTGTCCTCTGTCTCTTGTCTTCGTACACACTCCACACTGCAGGGAGACTGAGAAATCTACAAAATTTGAGCAGGGGGTTGGACTAGATGATCTCCTGAGGTCCCTTCCAACCCTGATATTCTATGAAACAAAGGTTATCTTGTGCTTAACACAGCAACTTCCATCAGAAGGTTTTCATTCACCTTATTAACTAAGGCATACAGTGCGCAGGGAGGAGATAAATAGCATTATCTCTGATACAAATGGGGAAACTGAGGCACAGAGCAGGTCAGTAGCAGAATAGAACTTGGGTCTCTTGACTTCTTGTCCAGTGCCCTATCCACTACAGTGATTCCCCATTTTTATTCTAACAGGTTATGCATAATCCTTCTCTACACATTAGAACCAAGTCAAACTGGTTTTGTGTGCGTGTAATAGAGACGCTAACCCATATTTGCCACGTATGTGGATTTCATCACACCTAGTCATAATCAGTTTTGGAACGTTTGTTAGTTTTTAAACTCTTAATTGACTTAAATCACTGTAAAACCTTTAAAGGCTTTTGTGCAGTGATCGGTCTTGTATTGTAGTGTTCTGAATTTAATATGGCTCCTTTCAATCAATTCATCGTTTAATTACAGCACTGGTCTAATGTCATTATTCCCGATTCAGTCACTTAGCATTTAATTAATGCCACTCTTACAATACCTTGCATTTTATTCAATATTGTTGACTTAGGAAAATTCTTTAAATGTTCCCCTTCAGCGTCAATTTTTTATTTTGGTTTCTTTTTTTAATCATTGATTAGACTAGAGGTTAATGACAAAGCGGCTTGCTTTGTAGAGTATGTGTATTTGGTGAGCTGTAATATATGGCTTTGTCTTCACTTCACAGTTAGCTGGGGCTTTTCCTTGGGTGTTATCCCAGACCCCCCTCCCATACACACACACACAACCCTCCAACCTGAGTATTCTTTAAATCCAGGCTTGCTGGCCCACCTAGGGAGGGTTAGCCCAGGTACTGCTTTCCCTCAGGCTGGAAGGGTAACCTTCCCACTTGCAGTATGGATGCAGGCTAAACCCCTGGAGTGCTAATAGTCCTCCAATGCCTTCCCACAATTGCCCCCATGTGCCTAGAAGGACAGACGAGTTCTCCCACAGTTCCCAGGGAAAGAAGGGTAGAGCGGCTCATCTTACTGCGGTATAAAGAACCATGGGATGTGCTCCCAGAAGTCATACGTTGCGTCTACACTGCAAGAATACCCTCGTGCCAACCAGTCTGAGACTGGCTCAGCTGACTTGGGGCTCACGGAGCTCATGCCACGGGGCTAAAAATTGAAGTGTAGATGTTCCCACTTGGGCTGGAGCCCAGGCTCGGAGACCCTCCCCCCCTTGCTGGGTTCTCTCGTTCACACTGATTTTATTGACCGGGCCAGCCACAGCCAGGCCATGGGCCAGTGAAGATGTACCCCGGAACTTAAGGCAGGACTTTGCAGTGAGGCTGCTCACATCCCAGGCTAGGCTAGCCCAGCTGCTGATCACCTGAGTTAACTCTGCAGTGAAGACTCTGTGTGTGAGTGAGGGAGGCATGCACTAAAATTGGTCTACCTGCACACATTGTACTGGTTTAATACTGTTAGGGATGTGATATTTGTAGGGACCTAATTAGACCAGTCCAACCCCAAGCATGGTGATACTGGTATAAAGGTGCCTTATGCCGGTACAGTTTATCCCCCTTCCCCTAGAGGAATAGCTAGCCCAGTACGAATACATCTGTACGGGTATAATTCATCCAGGCTATGAGGCTTGTCCTGCTTTAACTATACTGGGATAGCTAAAACTGTGTCACTTTGGTATATCGACAGGTCCCAAAGTCGGGCCTATCTAGAATTCTTGTACCAGCTGAACTATTTCAGATTGGGGGTGGGGGTGATTCCCCCCCCCGCCCCCACCAAAACAGCTCAACCGATCTGACTCTTAGTGTGAATGCAGTTATAGCTGTATTCTGGTGCCGTCACACCAGAAGAGCTTATTCCGATTTGGGAAGAGGAGTGGCTAGGGCTGGTCTGAACGCCTTTTACACCAGTACGGCCCCAGCGACCACACGAGTCCTGCTATAGCGTTCTCGTCACAGAGGTGCAGTTTTGGGTGTAGACAAGCCCTGATCGTATCTCGCATGTGAGACAGGACTCGGATGAAATGACTGTACAGGAGATTCTTTATTGAGGCTGCAGGACACAGACCCTGTGGTTCTCACTGGCTCTTTAATGTCTAGCCTGTGCTGCCTATGCCCCGCCCCGGAAAGGGTGTTTCTAAGTCCTGGCCTGGATTAGGCAGTTGTGGAAGGGAGTACTGACCACACAAAGATCCCTTCCCCATTTAAATTGATGTTAATAGTAAAGGATTTAAACAATATGACAGTATCATGACAATTTGTATGAACGTGTGAAAATAGGGGGAAATGTTTACATGGGAGGTGGGTCTGAGCTGTGAAGTTCAAATCCAGAGACAAAGTTTGAGGGTCGGGGTCGCTGGAACAGGGAGAGCCAAGGGGGCCATGATCCCATCACTTGTTACCGGCTGCAAGCGTTGGGGAGGGAGGGGGTGGAGAGGAGTGAGCAGGGGGGAAGACCTTGGGAGGTGGGGGGGAGAGGTGGGGCAGAGCCTCGGGGGGAGGAAAGAGGCAATGTGGGGGCGGGGCCTTGGGGAAAGAGGCGGGGCCACAGTTCGGGTACCCCCACTTTTAGGGAGCTTCCTCCATTCCTGTTGAGGGTGGGAAGGTTGCTCAGAGCAGGGGATCCAATTCTGGTCCATTCTAGAGAGTCGTAGAGTTTAGGGCCAGAAGGGACCCCCGGATCATCTAGAGAGATTGGGGGTATTTATAGAGCTGGGCAGGAATTTTTCAGCAAAACCCCTTTTCATTGGAAAATGACAATTTGTCAGAACCAAAACGGTGTGTGGGAAAGGGATGGTTTCAATGAAGTTCTTGTTTCAAAAAAAGTTTTGAAAGTTGAAACATCGCAAATTTTTTATATATATATTTTTGTAAACCAAATTCTGGTTTTGGGGTCCGGCTGCCTATTTTGTTTAGAAATTTGTTAATTTATTGCATTAAATTTTTGTTATTGCATTATAAAATTTATAAAAAGCTCTAAATAGAATCAAAACATTTCTCTTGATCCAATCTGAAGTATTTTTTTGGATTTTCCGTCTGTGAAAATTTGAGATTAACTTTTTTTTTCTCTTGATTCGGGATGGGGAATTTTTTTAACAAAATCTCGAATTCTCCTGGGACGGGAAACGTGTTTCCTGCCTGGCTTTAGTTATTGACCCCCAAGGCTGAGTGGAATGGAGCAGGAACAAGCTCCTGCAGTTACCACTCACCAGCTATGGGAGTGCAGAAAAGTTGGGTTCAGTGCAGCCTGGTTTAATCCTGCCCACCATCTCCTGCTGGCAATCAAAGTACAGACACGGCCCTGAGCCTGGTGGTCAGATCTGGGGCCCTCTCTGGTTCAGGGAGCGGTGGTTCAATGGGGCTTTGCTGCTCATTGATCCGCCTCGGGTGTCCCTTTGCTCTGGGGGGATCTCTGAGGGGGAGGGAGCGAGGGATGCTCTCGGCGGGGCCTGGTAACTCAAACCTGGCTTCCTCTCCTTCCCCATGCAGTGAATGCAGCAAGCGAGACGGCCCTGGACGTGGCAAGGAGGCACAAACATGTTGAGTGTGAAGAGCTGGTAGGTCGAGCACTTTGTATTCACGGTAACGTAGGCTGGTTGCTGCGGGAGGAGGGCGGATGGGATCTGCTGTCGGGGGGGGGGGCGGGAAACAGGTGCCTGGTACGGGGCAAGGAGGGAGGTGGGCATACTGTGGGATGAGGTCCTTTCTCAGAATGGAGATGGGAGGAAGCAGGGTCCTACTGTAGAGCCTGGATGACTCCTGCCACAGGCAGAGAAGGGAAGCAAGTTGGGGGTGCTGTGCCGTGGAGTAGGGGTGGGTTGGGGGCATGCAGGATCGGAGAAGATCAGGGCTCTGCCGAGGAGCTGAATCTTCTCGCACCCCAAATTTCTGGCAGCTTGAGCAGGCACAGGCCGGGAAGCTAAACCTGCAGGTGCACTTGGAGTACGACTGGGAGGCCTCTCAGGAATACACCTACGACAGCGAGGAGGAGCTGGAGGAGAAGGTACTGCTCTCCTGAGCAGCATGTGTGCGCGTCCCTGGTCTCTGCCAGGCCAGGGTTCTGGGATGGGCCGAGCCCTTCCTGCCAGGCCCAGGGCCACCTTCCTACAGGGGCAAGCGGGACCCCTACGCTCATGACCGTTCTCGGGGTACCCAGCAGTGTGAGTCCCCTTGTTACTCCCCTGCCTCTAGCATGAGGGAATCTTGCTTGTGGTAACTGGATGGCAAGTCTTGAATGCCACCAGCCTCTCGAGCGCTCCCCTCCGGGCACCCGAGTCCCCTTAGAAGCGTTTGACTGTGACATCCAGCCCCTGACGCTGGCTACTCACAGGAATCCCAGACACTCTGCCCCCAGAGAGCAGGGTGCCCTAGTTTTATCTTAAACCCCGCCCCTGTATCACACACACAATGTGTAATGGAACAAAACCAGGTTGATTTGAGAGAGAACGGAGATTTCCCCCCCTGGAAACCAGAGAACGTGATTGAAACAAATGGTTCCCTCGCAAAACAAAATTGGCAAATGTGAACTAGGGCTTCCACTTTTTAAAAGTTCCCTTTCCTAGCGAATAGAGTAGATGTCCCCCCACCACACCCCAAAGTGCAGTCTGTTTCAGAGCTGGCTGGCTTCACGGCAACCAGGATCCAAACTTTCCCAAAAACCAGTCTGGATCTCTGGCTTGCCCACTAGGCCTGCACATTGCTATGTCAAGCCAAGAACATCAGAGGAACACAGCACCTGGATGACAGGGCAAAGGGCAGCAGGAGTCAGGTTCCAGGAACATAGTGGGGAGGTGATTATGCTGAGCACCTACCTGGTGGGCACCAAGCTACTGAGAGGGGTGGCTTTGCTGAGGGTCTCTGGACAGCAGCAAGGAAGCAATGGTTGTTCCCCTGCCCCCTCCCCCCCCAATCCAGCTGAGCCCGCTGCAGCGATCCTTCAAGTCCACGTCGTCCCCAACCACGGGCCAGCCCGCCCTCTTCCCCCAGAACCGGTGGAGCTGCACTGGCATGGACATCAGCAACAAGACCTACGAGACCATCCTGGTCCCCTCGCGGCCCATCCAGCGGCGGTCACACAGCGAGGAGATCCCCCCACCGCTGCCCATCAAAAACCCGACCAGAGGGGGCTCCAGAACCAAACCGGGGCAGAGCCCAGCAGGTGAGCTTGTCCCCCTCAGCCAGGCCAAGGGAGGTCGGAAGTGCTGGTGAGAGCAACGCTCTGAGGATTCAGCCCTTAGGACTGGCTGCTTCTTCGAGCCTCTTGATCCCAGCCCAGATCCGCTGTCCCTATTGAGTACAGGGTTTATCCTCCAGCCAAGCTTCCTGCGTTGCCTCAGGCCCATGGGACTCTGGGACCAGCTGGCCCAGGAAGGGTGGAGGCACCCCGGACACTGGAGAATAACCAGGGATGTTCAGTTCTTTTGGATCTCAAATACAGCTGAGGTTTAGGGGGAGTTCAGGGCTGGGGAGAAGGTCCCAGCTGGTTCTTACTCTGAACTGGCTTGGCCAATTCTGGAAAGGGCTCTGCAGGTCATGAGTGCCCTGACTCTGCTCCCCAGTGGGAAATCAAAGACCGTGGGGCACTCAAAGGCCAAGCAATGTCCCAATATGGTTGGTAAATGCATGGGGAGCTCTCTGCTGGGGCACATCACTTCCTGATCTCCTGTACCCTCTGTTCCAGATCGCCCAGAGCTTCCACGTCAGGCCTCCGAGCCCCAGTCCTCTGCGTTGTCAGAGGCACCTGCCTGCCGAAACCTATCCACATCCAGCGCTCCTAGCACCTTGGACGGCTGTGCTTCCCGGCCGCCGTCCACCTCCCGAAGCCCCCCAGAAGCCAGACGCACGGTCTACTGGGAAACCCACTCGGAGACGGAGAGCAGCAGCCAGCGGAGGACATCGGAGGCCAGTCAGACAACAGCGCAGCAGCCTGCTGCTGGGACGTCGCCGGAACAGGGGCAAATAACCCCAGTCAAGTTCAGGTAGGGAGTGGACCCCGGAGCTTGTGGCTGAGAGGAGAACCCCCTGGGGGTAGGAGCACCCCCCAGTGGCGGGAGAGGTGTTGGATTACCTCGGCAGGGTTTTGTACCATTGACTGGGGCTTTGCAAAACCTGTTAGATGTGATGGCGCTGATCAGCTCAGGAGGAGCCCAAATTGCACCCCAAGGGCCAAACGATCCAGGATTTGGCCCTTGGGTGCCTTTCCGCCCCATGGGGAATTCTTCATGGAAAAGGGGGGAAACAGGCGAAACCCTCTGAGTCTGTGCAACTTCCATATCGTTGCAAATATTCAGCCCTATCGCTACCATGGCTGTGCAGTCCTGCAGCTGGCGCTGTTTAGTGGGGAGCTGGGGTTCAAGGAGGGGAGAAAAAGCCATTGTGAGGGCGGGGGGCTCTGTGGAAGAAACCATTGGCTAGAATAAGTCCGTGCTTTGGAGGGGGAGCCCACTGGGGTCTCGTGGTGGGGGAGAGGGTTGGGAGACCACCTCCCATCTTTCTGATGGTTTGAAGCAACCCCTCTGCCCTCAGCTCAGAAAGCACCCGGTCTTACCGGCGGATCGGCGGCGGCTCGGTGGGGAAATCCTCCGGCTTGGCCATCTCCCCACAAAGCTCTGGCTGCCCCGAGGACCCGCCTTCCAGCAAGGCTCCAAGTTTAGTGCAGAACACTCCCCCGGTACCCGTGCCGCGGAGGTTTGCTCCGGTAAGTGTCACGGGAAGGGGGCTGGTCCCTGTCTCTTTGTGGCTCCATTGCCCCTTTCTGTGGCTTCGATTCCCCCCCCCCCCGCCTCCCCAGCCCAGCTACTCTCACATTCCCTTGCCAGCTGTGAAATTCCCTTTGATCACTCCCTCCCGCTCCAACGTATGTGCTCACCCCCTGCTCGGCCTGTCCAATTTTGGGCTCCCTGGTGGAGTGAGGGGTGCAGCTGTAACCCACTGATCAGTATATGTTACGTGTCCCTGATCTACAGAGGATATGGATCTTTAGCTCAAGTGGCAGAGACTCAGGCTTGGTCTACACAACATACTTACTTCGGTAGAACTGCGTCACTCAGGTGTGAAAAATCCACCTCCCTGAGCAACGTAGTGAAACTGATCTAACCCTCTGTGTGTATGGTGCTGTATCAGCAGGAGAGCGTCTCCCACCGGTACAGCTACTGCCTCTGGCGAGGTGGAGTTGTTCAGCCAACAGGAGAGCTCTCTCCCGCCCAGCTGCACCGATGTCAATTTGTAGTGTAGACCTGCCCTCCCACGTTTAGATCCAGAGGTCCCCGGTTCAGTTCTCCTATGTGTCAGTTAAGATGGTGGCCGTCACAGTGATTCCAGATTGGGGCGGGGAGAGTTGGGGCTGGTCCTCACTGCTGCAGATGGCTTGTTAACGAGGGGCGGGTGGCTGGCTGGCTCCGTGCCTCCTGGGAGGAAAGAAACTGGCCCTGCTGGGGCTACCTTGGAGGATGAGGCTGGGGCACTTACCACCTCAAAGGGAGTAAAATCCCCAGGTGCCGTGGTGCTCATGGAGCAGTTGCTTCACCCATTACTTTGGGGCTCTGGAAATCCTGGCTGCAAGGGCCACAGGCTGAGCTGGGCATCTTCTGGGCACGGTTGTTACCGTGGCTACAAACCGATTGGGAAAAGCTGGGTCAGGGAGGGGTGGGCAAAGGTGAAAGAAGTGATAGGTGGGTGGGGGGAAGAGGCTTGGGCTGGGGAAGTGGGGGGCAGGCAGGGGCACGGTTCTTTAACCCAATGTGCCCCCACACCACGGAGCCCCCTCTGTGATGCCTTGGAGCAAAGCAGGGGCGGGGGAGGCTCAGCAGCAGGCGTCTCCCTGCCCCATTTCCTGAGCCAGGACTCTGGAGGCATGTGCTGTTTGCTTGCGCAGGCCAAGGTGAGGCAGAAGAGGGTGATGGCTCTGGTGGACTGCAAGGGGGAGAGGGCCCGGGAGCTGACCTTCTCCAAGGGCGAGGTGATCGTGGTGACCCGGGAGGAGGATGAGCAGAGCTGGGTGAGTGCTGCTGCTCTGGGGGCTCCTGGGACTACTGGGATAGGCCCCTGCTGGGGAGCCCCGGCCCCGGGTTCTAGCCTTGGGGCCCGAAGCTCTTGTTCTTCTGGGATCGGCTCTCATACTGTCCCAGTCCCTTAGGAGGGTGGTGGATCAGGGCCCCGGGGCTGGAGGGGGATTAGATTAATGTTTAGGGGATGCTTCTGCTCCCATCTCCACTGACCCCTCTGGTCTAGGGTGACCAGGTGTCTGGTTTTCGACTGGAAGACCTGGTCGAAAAGGGGCCCTGGCGGCTCCGGTCAGCACTGCCAACCAGGCCATTAAAAGTCCGGTCGGCGGTGCTGCGGTGCTAAAGCAGGCTAGTCCCTGCCTGGCCTGGTTGGCACCACGCTGTGCCCTGGAAGCGGCCAGCAGGTCCGGCTCCTAGGCAGGGGGCCATAGGGCTGCACGTGCTGCGCCCTGAGCACCGGCTCCGCACTCCCATTGGTCAGGAACCAGCCAATAGGAGGTGGGGGGAGGACGATGCCTGCAGGCGAGAGCAGCGCATGGAGCCTCCTGGCTGCCCCACCGCCTAGGCCCGGACCTGCTGGCCGCTTCTGGGGCGTGTGCAGCGTGGGTGCCAGGGCAGGCAGCCTGTTTTAGCTCCCCTGCTGCGCCGCTGACCGGGAGCCGCTTGAGGTAAGCCCACGCCCCTGCCCCAGCCCTGAGCCCCCCCCAATCTAGAGCACCCTCCTGCGCCCCAACCCCCTAGCCCAGAGCTTGTACCTCCTTCCAACCCCCTCCTTCAACCCGCAGCCCCCTCCCGCAATCCGAATCCCTGGAACCCCCTGCCACACCCTGAACCCCTCATTTCTGCCTCCACCCTGGAGCCCGCACCCCAAGCTCCTGCCCCAGCCCAGTGAAAGTGAGGGAAGGAGGGAAAATATAGTGAGCGGGGGGCAGGGGCAGGGCTAGGGTGTTCAGTTTTGTGTGACTAGAAAGTTGGCAACCCTACTCTGGTCCCTGGGGGTGCAGAGCTGATGCACTCTCAGGCCCCTCCTCACAGCCCCCAGCTAGGAATTGTATTGGGGGCAGAGATGTGTGGTCTCAGGATCCCACCTGGGGTGCAAAGGCCACTCTCATCCTCTGCCTTGAATATCCGTGAATCTTCACACTTCTCCGCCCCCCACTCCTTCCTGCCCCTTCTGAGCCGGGACCCCCCATTGGCACCTCTCGGTTCTCATCTGCTGCCTTTTGCCCCCTCTCTCAGGTCGGCTTCATTGAAGGAGATGGCTCCAGGACGGGCGTCTTCCCTGCCAGCTCCGTCCACCTCTTGCAAGAGTGACTGGCTGGTTTTTCCTTTCCCCTCGGAGCTGGTGCGAGCTCTCGGCGAGCGTGTGGGGGGCAGGGCTGAGCGCTCACTCCCTCCCCCCCCCCCCCCCACCACCAAGGTGTCAGGACTTTGTGCTCAAGCAACTTCACAGGGGCATCACAGGAGCACAGGCCTGTTTTCTTGCTTCCCTTCCCACCCCCGAGTCTGGGCCTTGAGGGTAATGGATGCTAGGGCACGTACTGTATTGAGGGTTTGAGGCAGGGGCTTGGGTGGAATCAACATTCCCCCCTCCCCACCCCAAATACTCCCCTCCCACCATGTGCTGGTCTATTTAGCCTCTTTACCCAAACTAGTTCCTTTTCCTGGATGGAGAGGCGGCTGGGCATCCCACCCACCCACCCATCGCACCAGGACCAGTGTCTGTCTCTACACCCCCGGCCAGGCTAGCTCACCATAGCCTTGCAGCTCGCTGGATGAACTGGACAACGGGATTCATCATCTTTGCTGCCTCAGTCAGGGGGAAGCTGATCAACGGGGAAGACTTGAGGATCTGGTGGAACTTGCAACCTCCTCTGCGGAGTCGGGGACGGGCTGAGGAGCTGATAGGGACGGTGGCTCGCTAGGAAATGGACCGAGAACGGACAACCTTGCTGCACCGCTCTGCAGGCCCCAGCTTCAGCCATTTGTCTGCTCCGTAGCTTTTGTGGGCTTTGAGGGGTCGTCTCCCCCTCGGGGTAGGGGTGGGGTTATGGCTGGGCCGGGAAAGGGAGTTCAGTTCAGAGCCTGGATGCCTCTCATCACATTCCTGCGGGATAAAACTGGGAGCCAGGAGCTCTAGCATTCCAATACCGGGCAAGGGTGGGGGGAAGCTCCACTGGGCTCAAATGTCTGTATTGAAGGCAAGAAAAGGGGAGGCAGATCCCAAACTTTGTGTTCTTCCCACCCCCATGAGTCAGGACGGGAGAAGGCTGCGAACCCCTTCTGGGTGACTAGCGACAGTGCACTGCTCTCCCTGTTATTTCCTAGGGATACCAGACTCTGTGGAGCATGGAATGGCAGGACATGGCCCATCAACTCCTGATGTCTGGCCTCGTGCCCCGGCCAATGCTGGGCATCTCTCCTGGCCTCCCTCCACAATGCCCCCAGCCCATGAGCAGTGCTGGGAAAGGGGGGATTACCTTGCACCTCGGAGACATACTGGAGTCTTTCTCTGCCTAATTCTGGCAAAACTGGCCCAGGCCGATAAAGGCTGATGAGAGGGGGATAAAAAGCAAGTCTCCTTGCGCTGCATGAGTTATCCTAGAAATTAGAGATAGGGAACAGTCTGGATGGCTTCCCCCCCCACCAGGGGCTTGTACAGGGGGGTTCACTACAGTGGATCCTCCGGTGTTTCCATTGATTCAAGTGCTGCTCTTTCCCTTGGGCTGCTCTTTGATGTCAGAGAGTTGTCTCCGGACGCTGCCTAAATTCCCCCTTTGTGCAACTTCATCCCATTCTCTCCTGACTCTTCCTCCAGAAACCACCCCTCTCCGCCCCTAGCATTGGCACAGGGCTGGTTGAATACCCCCGTTATGCCTTGGGGCATTCACCGTCCCTGCCCTTTAATAACAACGAACGCCTAACGCTTTTCATCAGTCAGTCTCAAAGCACTGCACAGAGGAGATGAAGAGCATCATCCCTGTTTTACAGATGGGGAAACTGAGGCACACAGCGGAAGTGGTGATTTACCCAGGGTCATCCAGCAGCAAATTCTGTTCATGTGTTTCCCAGACTGCTCTGAACCCCCAGGTTCCTCTTATTTAAAAGTATTTGAGACAGTTGCTTTTTGGCCTGTCATTCTGAATCTCCGTGTTTCCCCACCAGCATAATTTGCAGGTACCATTTAGGGCCGCCTTAGCTCAGCACAAAACTAGCATGATACCATTGACTTCAATGGGGCTGCTTCCATGCCTGAAGTGATTTTTTTAATAGCGTTTAAGCCCGGAAAGAACCATTAGATCATCTAGTCTGAGCTCCTGTGTATCCCAGGCTGTCGGTTTTCACCCAGCTACTCCTGTGTTGAGCCCAAAAACTTGAGTTAAACTAAAGCATTTCAGTTCTCAGGTACCTAAACTGATGTGTGCTGTGGGGAGAGAACAGACGGGACCAAAGTGCCCCAATGCCCGTGGTGCCCTGCAATGGCAGGGCATTGGCCAGGTGGGAGAAGTGCTTTATGACTTGGCACGATCGAGGCCCAGATCATCTGCTTGAGAAAACGTAGCCCTCGATGGCCTTAAAAAAGGGGTTAGAAACGGTTCCCTTTTGCAAATCAAGTGAAGGGGATCGGTAGTGCAGAGGGCTCATTCTGGATCAGACCTGACCCCCAGACCAATTTACACCAAGGGTTAAATCTCTGCAGCCCAAAGGTTTACACCCCCCCCCCCACAAAAAAAAACAAAAACCCAAAACACCCTGTGACTTGACTGTCACCCCCTTCAGCTTTTGTCTGTTTCCTGTTTTAGGAAATGAGGCTTTGCTGGAGTCTCAGTGAATCTTCTGTCCTGTGGGTTTAATCATCCCCCTGCTCCTGCTTCACAGAGACCCTCCTCTTCTTGGGAGGCCGCTCTGTTTCTGTGGCTCCAATCTGGCTTTCCATCCCCTTTCCCTTATAGGAAAATACTTGAAGGAAATAAAGGGAGCCAGATGGATGCCTTGTCCCTAATAGGAGTCCAGTCCCTGGGTGTCTCCTTGGTCCCTCGCCTTTGTCTATAGTATGGTAGGAGGAGACAATCTCCAGGCAGGAATCCTGCAGCAGGAGACTGTGGTATTCTGAGGGTACGGAGAAGGAAAAGCTAGTTTGTCTTGTGGCTTTCCCACCACCCTTTCTTCCTAACCCTGAAACTGTGAAATATATATATTTTTTATAAATAGGAAAGAGGTCTGTATTGGCCCATCTGTGTAGTGCCGGGCTCAAATTGGAAGTTGGCCGGCTAGATTTGGGTCCAGATTTCAATCATCCATAACGCCGGGGAGTCTTCAGCTCTGGTTTGGCCTAACCTAGAGAGAGACCGTTGAGTGCAGTGACTAGAAAGAAGGCTCTTGATTGAGGTGGCTGGACAAGAGAGAGCTCCCTGTGGTTCTCCCGGGTTGCTTAATAATTTTGGTGCAGGTTTAGAACTGATGAGGACTCCACCGCCAAAAGTTGTGGCGGGGAAGGGAGATGAGGGTAATTTTGGGGCTCAGGCCTAGGCCCATCTCCGCTATGGATGTACAGATTTTTGGTTTTTTGCCTCTGACTCCTTTCCCATGGGTCTAATGGTTATACAGAGACTCATTCTAGCCTCTGTCAGGAATACGTTTTAAAGGGGGTGGGGAGCTTGTTTGTTTGGCTTCTGCAATGGTTTACTGGGACCAATGCTTCTGACCTGTATGAGCCTCCCTCGTGATTTTTTTTGTCCCCTGTGATCAAGTTGCATTTTTTTATAATTGTCAGTGGGTTTGTAGTGGAATATTTAATCTCAAGATGGTCTCTTTTTTTATTCCTCCCCCTTCCCCCCATTTCTAATAAAATTGTTTTTTTTTTTTGTAAGTGGTGTGTGTGATGTGACTGCAACAGTCCCATGAGTGTGGTTTTCCATAGGTATTAATAGACAGTCCAGGGATGAGTGAGGTCTGAGTAGTTATATACATTTAATAATATAATTAATACAAAGGCTCATCCCAAAGCGTTGAACAAACTAGGTATAGAAATCACTTCACCCATAACTGAAATGCAGCCACTTCTGGAGTGGAGTCTGGCAGCTGTTTAACAGTGCACAGCACTTTAAGCCAGGAATGGGAAGCTTATTGTCTTCTCTTGAACTGTGGGGGGGAACAGAGGGAAGCGGAATGGAATGGGCTGGGGTTGGAAGCTGGAATTGGGCTGGGATACTCTTGGGGGATTTCTGATGGCCCTGAGTGGTTTTATATCCCCTCCATTGTGACAGCACCTCATGGGGTGTTAATTCAGTATTGCCTCTGAGGTCAGAGTGCCCCGAATGTACCATCAACGCCATTTCCTACAGCAGCTGAGTCCTTGGTGGACTCTCTTATCTAGCTATAAAGATGTGGCAACTCTTCCACCGGGGACCTTGCTTCTAGGTCACGTTGTCCCCGAAGCACAGGTTGTGGGTGGCAGCATCTGAGAACAAAGGTGTGTGAGCAAAGGGTGAAGAGACCGCCTTACTCCTCTTTCCTCCGATGGTGCATTTGTAACTGGACCCAAATAAAGGGTTTATTTTAGTCAATATGCAGGTTAGATTCATGCTGATGTGAGTTTATTTTTCCTGGAAGTGGCGGAATCCTTCCCCTTGGCCTCCTAGATCAGGGGTCGGCAACCTGCGGTATGTGCAACAAAGGCGGCATGCAAGTCGATTTTTACTGGCACGCTGCTGCCAGCTGGGGTCCTGGCTGCTGGCCCCACTCAGCCCGCTGCCGGCCTGGGTGAACGGAACCCCTGGCTGGCAGCGGGCTGAGTGGGGCCGGCGGCCGGGACCCCGGCTGGCAGGAGCCGGCAGACGGAACCCCAGACCGGCAGTGGGCTGAGCCGCTCAGCCCACTGCCGGTCTGGGGTTCTGTCCGCCAGCCTCGCTCAGCCCGCTGCCCGTCTGGGGTTCTGGCCCCTTGCCAGCCAGGGTCCTGGCAATCGGCCCCACTTAGCCTGCTGCTGGCCTGGGATACCAGCTGCCGGCCCCACTCACCTTTCTGCTTGTCTGGGGTTCCAGCCACCCGGCCCCCTGCCAGCCGGGGTCCTGGCCGCTGGCCCTGCTGTAAATGTAAAATTTATAACTGGCATGCGAAACCTTAAATTAATGAAGACTTGGCACGCCACTTCTAAAAGGTTGCCGACCCCTGTCCTAGATGAAAATACGTGAAGGAATTCTTGAGTCGTCTCTCTATATAATTCTTGGTGTCAAATTGCATAAAGGATCCTGTCCAGGCAGCAACTCTGTGTGTGTTCCCACCTGCCTTTTTGGATTTGGATCAGCCATTTTATACCCAGCTCTCCTGACAACCCGGAAAGGGACTGCTTGGCTGCACTTTGCATTTACCCTCAGGAGTAAAACTAAAGATTTACAGATGGGGCAGGTATAACTTTACTTAAAGGGATACTCCTCATATTTAAAACAACAAATCCTCTTTCCAGTAGCCCCGTGTGATGTTACACCTAGAAAAACTTTTGAACATCTAGACAGATTTAAAAAATAAAATCCCCAACATTCAGCTCCTAAATTTTCAAAAGCAATTTTGCATGCCTCTTTTGTTATCTGACTTGAGACAGCTGAATAGGGGCAGAATTTAAAAAAAATAATAAATGCTAAGCACCCACCCTCTGAAAATCGGGGACCGTTTTGAGGTCTGTGAGAGTGGACACCCAAAATCACTAGTTACCCTTCAACATTTGGATCCCAAGGCCCCAATTCAACAAAGCACTTAAGCATGTTTTGAGTCCCCTTCAATGAGATTTAAGAGTGCGCTCAAGTGCTTTGGAGAATCCGAGCCAACATCTTCATTAAGGGTACATCTGCAGTTCTAGCTCGGGGTGTCATTCCCAGTTCGAAGTGCAGACATAGCCTCAAATGCCTGACTTTCAAAAATGCTGAGCTGCCCACTGACTTCAGCGGGGGCTGGTGGGCCCTCAGCACTTTTGAAAATTAGGTTTCAGAGTAACAGCCGTGTTAGTCTGTATTCGCAAAAAGAAAATGTATGCATCCGATGAAGTGAGCTGTAGCTCACAAAAGCTTATGCTCAAATAAATTGGTTGGTCTCTAAGGTGCCACAAGTACTCCTTTTCTTTTTTTGAAAATTAGGCCACTTCTATAGGTGGACTTAGGAGAGCTTGTGTTTTTGAAAACTTTGATCTGACTTTAATTCTCACCCTTGATGCTGTTTTCTTTCTGCAGTTCCCTGGGCTGGAATGCTATACATCAAACAGATCTGTTTCTGTTCCTAATCAGTTTCATTTTTACCCTCTCTAGTCAGTTTCATTTTCTGGTTCTCTTGCTGCAGCCCAGTGTTGTTTTTCAACACTGCAGCAACCTATTAACTCCTCCCCCCGAAGGGCTACATGAAAATGTTTCTAGTCCTATATGTCTGCCCTCCCCCGCCCCCATCCTTTCCTCCCCCTTTTGATAAAAGAAACCTTACATTTTGAGCCCTGATGCTACCTCCCTGTGCCTCTTTAAGCACTAAGGCATGGCATGGGTTTTATCTCATACATTCACACCCCTCCCCTGGGCTGGTGTTAAGAAGCTGGCAGACTCCAATGGCTTAAGCCAGGGATTTTCAAACTGGGGGTCGGAACCCCTTGGGGGTCATGAGGTTATTACGTGGGGGGGTCGTGAGCTGTCAGCCTCCATCCCAAACCCTGCTTTGCATCCAGCATTTATAATGGTGTTAAATATATAAAAACATGTTTTTAATTTATAAGGGCTCGCACTCAGAGGCTTGCTATGTGAAAGGGGTCACCGGTACAAAAGTTTGAAAACAACTGGCTTAAGCTGTACTCTTATTACCTAAAAATGCTCAGCTTGGAGGGTCATTATGAACTTGAATTTGAAAAACAAACATTAGGGAAAAAGTCAAACCAGTGAATTAGTGGCACTGTCTAAAACCCCTGGCGAGTCAGTCTCTCTCTCGCTCTCTGTTTTGAACACGTGCATACATATACAATCTCTCCCCCTTTGTTTTGCAAAGCTCCCTTAGGCTGAGCTTTATCAGTAATATCGGCCACCAGCTGCTCTAGGTTCTTCAGCTGGGATGCTGTTTTAAAGTTGTTTAGAAATATAGGACAAAAGCCCTCCTAAATCAGACCACCAAGTCCAGTGTCTAGTATCCTGTCTCCCTGGCAAGCTTAAGCTTCAGAGCTAGGAGAAACCAAAGTTGGCCTGTGATGGAACACTGGCTGTGGAGTTCAGGACAATTCCTTCCTGACCCCTCATAGCTGATCAGTTGGTGCCTTGAAGCATGGGATTTAATTACCAGGGCTAGTCAAAAATTTTCCTCCAAAACTCTTTTTGATGGAAAACTGGGCTTTTGGCTAAATGATTTTTTTTCACAAAAGATGTCTGCTTTCTGTGGAAATTTTTGATTTTTTTTCTTCAAAAAGCCAAATACCCAACATTTGAACCATTTCAATTTTGCTGCACTGCCATCGTGCCTCATGTGAGTTGTAGTTTGTGGTATGTGCTGTACAGACACATAGTAACGGTCAGTTCCTGTCCCAAAGACCTTAAACAACCTAGTTATTTACATACATAACTGCAAATGTCATTATTAGCCTTACAATTATCCAGTATGTTAAAAAGCTATAACCTCCTGAGCTGTTAAACTAAATATTATAAACCTCTGGAACTTATTGCTGCAGAGGATTGGTTTAATACGCTCTTTAAAAGGATTACCTGCTACTATGAATAAGAACAGCATGCCCCCTGAGCTACAATAAAATGACATGCATCACCAAACCCTCATGTTTCAAGACATATGTTGGTCACCAGCTGTGGTCAGGAAGAAATTTCCCTTCTCTCTCAATGGGAGAGGGTTGCACCGGGGCCTTTTGCTGAAGCACTGGGCCTTGGCCTCTGTCTGATGCAGGATCCTGGACTAGAAGATCCATTGCAGTGTGGCAAGCCGGTTCCAGGGGAAATTTCCAGACTGGGTTTATGGACCCACGAGGCAAATGGTAGACAGAGCTTGCCAATAGGTGGGGGCTTGGTACAATGCAGACTTTCAGCAGCCCAGTGAGGGCCATGCCCTAACCTGCCTGTGCCTAGCCTCCAGCTCTGTTCCTAAAGTTCCCATGGCCTGGGGGCATCTCCTTCTCCCCTCCGCTCCTCGCCAAGTGTTTTATCCATTTGGCTGCTGTAGCCTGGTGGGGGGCTGTGATGATCCTCGGGCCCTGGGCAGGCGCAAGGCAGCTGTCACCGCTCCTGATCTAGACGGTCACACACCAGGGCACCTCCTGCGTCCACACGCGCAGCGCTGCCCCTCCCGCCCCGCAGCCGCTCCCAGCCTCCGCCCGGCCCTGCTCGGACCTTGGCTCCTATATTTAGCCCGTCCCCCTTGTGCTATTTTGGCTGCATGTGGCGGCCCCGTGACCACGCCCCCTTCTTTGCTTTCGCTCTTTCGCTCCCGTTTCTTCGTTTTCGGTCCGTCCCCCCCCCCCCCGCCGGGCCAAGCTGTCAGCGGCCCCCGCAACCAAAACTTGGAGCAAAAGTTCGACCCACTCCCCCCCCCCCAACACACACACTCCCCCCCACCCCCCGCCCAGGCCCCGATGAAAACAGATCCGAGTTGTCCCGGGGGCGAGCTCCTGGCTGCTTTTGTGGTTTAACGCCCCCCCACACACACACTTCTTGCTCCTGAACGCCAAAACTTGGGAGCCGCGATCATGGGGCGAGCCGAGGAGCTGGTGAGGATTGCAAAGAAGCTGGATAAGATGGTGACCAGGAAGAACACAGTAAGTAACTCCAATTGTGTGTGTGTGTGTGTGTGTGTGCGCGCCATACTGTGTGCGTAAGAAAACACACACACACACTGTGTGTAAGAGCAGGGTAAGAAAAACCAAAACAGCGTGTGTGTGTTTAAACTTTCCAGAGCTTGGATCGTCTGTGTGTGTTGCTCAACTTTCCAGCTTGGATCTGTGTGTCTGTGAAGAAGGAAAACCAAAACGGGGTGTGTGTGTGTGTGTGTCTGTTTAAATTTTGCACCTTGGCTCTGTGCAGAAGAGAACCTCCTGGATAAATCCTGCTGAAAGAAGGAGGAAGGGCTATTTGGTGGGTCTCTTCCAGCTGATTTGGCCTAGGGAACTGCTGACCGCAGTTGCTGAACAGCCTGATTCTGATTTGCTTGGGGTTCAGAGGCTGTTGTCCCCACCTCCCTTGAGGGAAGGGTGCTCAGCACCTCTGAAAATCAGGCCCCCAAAGCTTTGCTCCCCCAAAATGTCAACTTTGGTGGCGACATGTGAAAACGACCAAATTTCTTGTAGCCTGATCCTTTGGGTTTCAGCCATCCAGTCTAACCCAATACCTCTTGATTTCTCTGTGCATTTGAGCTGTTGCTTTCATTGGTCTCCTGACTGTATTTTCATTTTGCCAGGGTTTGGTTGCATGGTGTTTTTCAACCCCACCCATCTGTGGGGCTTTCTGATTGTCCTTCGTGGCCCTCCCCCGCCCCGCCACCCTGGCTCAGGGGCCCGGTTTGGAGAGGTGTAAAGAGTGGGTGAAAGCGACAGGAATCTGAACCGTGCAAACCCAATCTCAGACTGGGGCTTGTCCAAGGAGACTGGGCTGGGGAAAAGCAAAAATATCCAGGGGAGGAGGGGAAGGAACTAGGTGCCTAAACCTTTTTCACAAGAGAATGAAAAAGTGGAACGCGGGGGGAGGGGAGGGATGAGTTTAAATGAAAGCTCGTGCACCAGATTTAAGAACAAACAGGACAGGTGTCCCCCGCCCGCCCTGAACTGTTCTCGTGCCTTAGATAAAATAAACAGTTTAGTGTAGATACAACCGGCCTGATCCTTCCTGAGCATCCGTCTTGTCCTGGGGAAGGTCTGCTGGCTTCCCCTGATTTGCTCTTCGGGCCCAGCTCCTTAGCTGGTGTAGCTCGCAGGTGCAGGGAGGCCACCCCCATCCTGCTGGCAGGGGATCTGTCCCCTGATTGGCACTGGTGCAGTGCAATCAGGATCTGATGCAATGTGCAGTTTAGGAGGAGCTGGTGCCTGAGGTTAATATTTTACTTTCCTTGCGACCTTTGTCTCAGTGGAGTGTAATTAATCCCCTCTGATCCCCCCCCTCCTTCCAGCATGATACCTGGTGCTTGTGGCTCTGCCTGCAATTGGGGGAGGGAGGGGGGGAGTGAGCATCTATAAAAGGGGAAGTATGTTAACATATGTTAACACGTGATATGGGTTGCACCACAGAATCTGTTAAAGAGCTGCTAATTGCTGCAGAGTCCCTGGAAAGTTTGTCTCTAATTGCCAGTGCATGGTGGGTGTGTTGCTTTCTCCTGTACACTGCAGGGCCTGATCCTCTGTTGCCCCACTCCTGGTGGTGGTGCTGACACCAGGGCAAAGTGGGTGTAAAGGGCCACTCCGAATGGCAGTGCTTTCTTTGCCTTTGTTTTGCACACAGGCAAATGGCTGCAGAAGGCACTGGGCAATAGAGAATTGGGCCTGCAGACTGGGCCTCCAAATGGCATCTTCTCCAGGTCTCCCACGGCTGCGGTGGAAGCCCCAGAGTAGCCAGCCTTTTTACCCTCAAGTTGTCTGGAGGGGACCACAAGCCTTTGTCCCAGGCATGTTTCACACTTTGAGGCTGCTCAGCTCCCGCATGGAGTGTGCCTGGTCCAGGCTGTGGGCATATGTTCCTGGGGAGACCTGTGGGGTTGGTATCATTTCTAGCTGGTGGCAGACCGTGAGTCACTTGTACTGTTCAGGAACAGCGAAGCCAAGGTGCCATGTAGCTGCCAGAGGTGTCTCATGTGTCTAACCCGAGAGAAACCTATTACTGAGTGCAGGGGCGGTGGAGAAATTTTGGTGGTGCCAGAGGGGCCCCCCAGCCAAACTCCACTCCCCGCCTGCCTAAGGCTCTGGGAGGGAGTTTGGGTTGGCGGAGGAGGTCTGGGGTGCAGGCCCGGGGCTGAGGCAGGGGATTGGGGTGCAGGAGTGGTGCGGGGTGCAGGCTCTGGGAGGGAGTTTGGGAATGGGAGGGGGTGCAGAGGGAGTGGGTGCAGGCTCTGGGAGGGAGTTGGGGGTGGGAGAGGGTGCAGAGGGAGTGGATGCAGGCTCTGGGCGGGAGTTTGGGGGAAGGAGGGGGCATGGGAAGGGGATGGGGGTGCAGGCTCTGGGAGGGAGTTTGGGGGTGGGAGGAGGGGTGGGAAAGGGGTGGGGGTGCAGGCTCTGGGAGGGATTTTGGGGGTGGGAGGAGGGGTGGGAAAGGGGTGGGGGTGCAGGCTCTGGGAGGGAGTTTGGGGGCATGGGAAGGGGATGGGGGCGCAGGCTCTGGGAGGGAGTTTGGGGGCATGGGAAAGGGGTGAGGGTGCAGGCTCTGGGAGGGAGTTTGGGGGAAGGAGGGGGCATGGGAAAGGGGTGGGGGTGCAGGCTCTGGAAGAGAGTTTGGGGGTGGGAGGAGGGGTGGGAAAGGGGTGGGGGTGCAGGCTCTGGGCAGGAGTTTGGGGGAAGGAGGGGGCATGGGAAAGGGGTGGGGGTGCAGGCTCTGGGAGGGAGTTTGGGGGGCATGGGAAAGGGGTGGGGACGCAGGCTCTGGGAGGGAGTTGGGGGTGGGAGGAGGGGTGGGAAAGGGGTGGGGGCGCAGGCTCTGGGAGGGAGGAGGGGTGGGAAAGGGGGGGGGGCGCAGGCTCTGGGCGGGAGTTTGGGGGTGGGAGGAGGGGGTGGGAAAGGGGTGGGGGCGCAGGCTCTGGGAGGGAGTTTGGGGGTGGGAGGAGGGGTGGGAAAGGGGTGGGGGTGCAGGCTCTGGGAGGGAGTTTGGGGGCATGGGAAGGGGGTGGGGGCGCAGGCTCTGGGCGGGATTTTGGGAGTGGGAGGAGGGGTGGGAAAGGGGTGGGGGCGCAGGCTCTGGGAGGGAGTTTGGGGGTGGGAGAGGGTGCAGAGGGAGTGGATGCAGGCTCTGGGCGGGATTTTGGGGGTGGGAGGAGGGGTGGGAAAGGGGTGGGGGCGCAGGCTCTGGGCGGGGGTGGGGGAGTGCGGTGCTTACCTGGGGCTCCTAGGCAGGGTGGGCCAGGGAGCCTCTGAGTGCTGCGACCCCCAGGCACTGCCCCCGCAGCTTCCTATTGGCCGCAGGGGCGCTTGGGGCAGGACACAGACTCACCCCGCCCAGGGGCTGCAGCGAGGGGCCAGCAGCCACGTGGAGCCAGCAGGTAGGACGCTGCTGAGCTATGCTGCACTGCCCGTGGGTGGGGGCCCCGGGGGCGCGCGGGGGCTGGGGAAGGGGAGCGCCCGGGGGCGGAAGGCGGGGCCGAGGGAGAGACCTGGCCTCAAACAGTGCTGGAGCTGGGCCCCAGGCCACGAATATGCCCGGTGCCCCCGCACCACGGGCCTGTTGAACTCGCTGCCCATGGCTGAATGGCAACTTGTGCCTTATCGTGGAGCTCCACTGATCCCCACAGATGGTTCAGAGGCTTTGAGTGGCATCCTACCTGGAGGAGACTGATCGAGGGGCTCAGTTCAGAAGAAATAGGGAGTAGGCTGATTCCAAGCCCAGCTGAATTGCCATGGGACCCTGCTAGCGGTGGTAACTGTGTTATGTACATCACAGAATCATAGAATCATAGAATATAAGGGTTGGAAGGGACCCCAGAAGGTCATCTAGTCCAACCCCCTGCTCAAAGCAGGACCAATTCCCAGTTAAATCATCCCAGCCAGGGCTTTGTCAAGCCTGACCTTAAAAACCTCTAAGGAAGGAGATTCTACCACCTCCCTAGGTAACGCATTCCAGTGTTTCACCACCCTCATAGTGAAAAAGTTTTTCCTAATATCCAATCTAAACCTCCCCCACTGTAACTTGAGACCATTACTCCTCGTTCTGTCATCTGCTACCATTGAGAACAGTCTAGAGCCATCCTCTTTGGAACCCCCTTTCAGGTAGTTGAAAACAGCTATCAAATCCCCCCTCATTCTTCTCTTCTGCAGGCTAAACAATCCCAGCTCCCTCAGCCTCTCCTCATAACTCATATGTTCCAGACCCCTAATCATTTTTGTTGCCCTTCGCTGGACTCTCTCCAATTTATCCACATCCTTCTTGAAGTGTGGGGCCCAAAACTGGACACAGTACTCCAGATGAGGCCTCACCAATGTCGAATAGAAGGGAACGATCACGTCCCTCGATCTGCTCGCTATGCCCCTACTTATACATCCCAAAATGCCATTGGCCTTCTTGGCAACAAGGGCACACTGCTGACTCATATCCAGCTTCTCGTCCACTGTCACCCCTAGGTCCTTTTCCGCAGAACTGCTGCCTAGCCATTCGGTCCCTAGTCTGTAGCTGTGCATTGGGTTCTTCCGTCCTAAGTGCAGGACCCTGCACTTATCCTTATTGAACCTCATCAGATTTCTTTTGGCCCAATCCTCCAATTTGTCTAGGTCCTTCTGTATCCTATCCCTCCCCTCCAGCGTATCTACCACTCCTCCCAGTTTAGTATCATCCGCAAATTTGCTGAGAGTGCAATCCACACCATCCTCCAGATCATTTATGAAGATATTGAACAAAACCGGCCCCAGGACCGACCCTTGGGGCACTCCACTTGATACCGGCTGCCAACTAGACATGGAGCCATTGATCACTACCCGTTGAGCCCGACAATCTAGCCAGCTTTCTACCCACCTTGTAGTGCATTCATCCAGTCCATACTTCCTTAACTTGCTGACAAGAATACTGTGGGAGACCGTGTCAAAAGCTTTGCTAAAGTCAAGAAACAATACATCCACTGCTTTCCCTTCATCCA